GGTGTTGTCAAGGTAATTCAAGTAAAGTTACAATACACCATTGTTTTAAGCAACTGTGGATTTGAGAGAAAAGTCACAAAGAGAAATGTATGAGTACAATTCAGAGAACAACAAAAGGAACTTTTACATTGTCAGAGAATACACTGAATACAAAGAATCTGGGAAGAGGGTGGGATAAAAGCATGAAAGAATATTGAACTCTTTGGAGAATTTTTGGTTGCATTCATTTTTTTTTTTAAGATTTTTATTTATTTATTTATATGACAGAGACACAGCGAGAGAGGGAACACAAGCAGGGGGGTGGGAGAGGGAGAAGCAGGCTTCCTGCGGAGCAGGGAGCCCAATGCCTGGCTCGATCCCAGGGGTCCTGGGATCATGACCTGAGCCGAAGGCAGACGCTTAACAACTGAGCCACCCAGGCACCCCGACCCAGTCATTCTTTAGTAGGATGCTCTTTAGCCTTCATGTATTTGAGTTCTTTCCTGTGACTGAGTTCCAGTTTCAAAGCATTGTTGTCTGAAAAGATGCGGGGAATGATCCCAATCTTTTGGTACCGGTTGAGACCTGATTTGTGACCCAGGATGTAATTTATGCTGGAGAATGTTTCATGTGCATTAGAGAAGAATGTGTATTCTATTGCTTTGGGTTGGAATGTTTTGAATATATCTGTGAAGTCCATCTGGTCCAGTGTCTCATTTAAAGCCCTTGTTTCCTTGTTGATCTTTTGCTTAGATGATCTGTCCATTTCAGTGAGGGGGTTGTTAAAGTCCTCTACTATTATTGTCGATGTGTTTCTTTGATTATGTTATCAATTGGCTTATCTCATTGGTTGCTCCCATGTTAGGGGCATAGATATTTAAAATTGTTAGATCTTCTTGTGGATAGACCCTTTAAGTATGATGTAGTGTCCTTCCTCATCTTTTATTATGGTCTTTGGTTTAAAATCTAATTATTTGTCTGATATAAGGATTGCCACCCAGCTTCCTTTTGATGTCCATTAGCACGGTAAATCGTTTTCCACCCCCCCACTTTAAATCTGGCGATGTCTTTGGGTCTAAAATGAGTCTCTTGCAAATAGCATATCGATGGGTCTTGTTTTTTTATCCAATCTGATACCCTGTGTCTTTTGATTGGGGCATTTAGCCCATTTACATTCAGGGTAACTACTGAAAGATAGGAATTTAGTGCCATCGTATTGCCTGTAGGGTGACTGTTATTGTATATCTCTGTTCCTTTCTGGTCTATGTTACTTTTAGGCTCTCTCTTTGCTTAGAGGACCCCTTTCAATATTTCTTGTAGGCCTGGTTTGGTGATCACAAATGCTTTTAGTTTGTTTGTCCTGGAACCCAAAATGTTTTTGAATGAAGATGTATTCTTCCCTCTAGAAATATATATACAAATGAATCTATAGAGCCAAAGGTAAGGCCTTCACATTTCTAACATGTATAATGGTATTGGGTCAATAGGCCATATGTCAAAATACTGAAACCAAAGATCAAAGGACCCAGGCAAAGCTCTTTCTTTCCTTCCTCTGGCTTCACTTATGGGTATAAATGTGAGGGAAATCTTCACATTGGAGTCGGCTGCCCCCCCCCCCCCCACCGCCCCGAGTGTCAATGCTGGAATGAGATTAGGGGTGTTGATCTAGTTCAGGTGCTGACTAGCTGTGTGACCTTGGGCAGGTCACATCGCCCCTCTTAGCTTGACTTCCTCCTCTGAAAAATGAGAGGGGTTGGACTAGCACTAGATGATCCTAGGACTCCTTTCTTGTTCGGAGCCACAAAACCTTTACAACATGGATGGGATACGGCCACAAACAGGAAGTCAGGAGGCCAGAAAGGAAAGAAATGCCAACCCCTCAACTCGCTCAAGTAGGAAACTTCCAAACTCCAAAAGCCAAGATTAAAAACCCAGAACATCAAAGTGATCTCATCCATGGCTGAGGTCAGAGACAACCACTTAGGAAAGAGTAAAATGTTATTTGGTTCAACACCCATTATTTCTAGATGAGCACAGTTTCATTTCTGAACATGCATTTAGTTCTCCCAATACCTGATTCTCCACCTGTGTTTATGAACAGTTTGAATGAATTAATGAGGATCCAAGTCTATGGACCACTCACATCTCCATTCAGCTTCTGAAGGATCCCTCCTTAGCACCTTTATTGACCAGCAAATTAGTGGAGGAACAAGCCAGAGCCTTCTGACCCAGAATGCCAAAGATAATTGTCTTAAGGAGAAAATAAGGAAGTTACAAAGCACACGTGCATTTCTTTTTTTTTTTAAAGGTTTTATTTATTTATTTGACAGAGCAAGAGAGGGAACACAAGCATGGGAAGTGGGAGAGGGAGAAGCAGGCTTCCCGTGGAGCAGGGAGCCTGATGCGGGCCTCGATCCCAGGACCCTGGGATCATGAGCTGAGCCAAAGGCAGATGCCCAACTGACTGAGCCACCCAGGCGCCCCGCGTGCATTTCTCCTAAAGCCCAAGTCATCCCTCCTGTTGTAATAACATCTGCAGGGCCTTCCTGAGAGCCATCACTGCAGTGAGTCAGACCCTTGGAGAAGATCCTGAAAGCTGGAGCAGCCAGAGATCCCAGTCTGGGGGGCCTGCCCTGTCTCTGGTCAGCTCCCACTCCTAGTCCTTTTTGTCCTCAGTATGGGCCTTTGCCTGGATGAGGACACCAGCCCTCACTGCTACCTTTTCTACTACCCCTGGAGTGAATTCACCCATCTCATCTGGAAAATTGTCTGTACCGTGAGTCAGCTTTTTTTTCCTTTTTGTGGTTCTCTGAAAGACAGCCTGAGTTGCATATAGTAGTAAAGTAGTTTTCGAAGTTCTTTCCTCTACCTCAGGGTAAACAGAGTTCCGTTAATCATTGATAGACTCAAGGGAAAGCCAAGTGATCAACACTGTACTGTATTTCCACTAGTCTCCCCCTCCCCAGCTTTGGAAAATAAAGCAATACTTGATTAGGGAAGTGATAAAACATTTTTCTCATATAAACATTGTGTGCCTAGCACCACAGTCTCCATGCTGTAGACATCATAAGCACTATTTAAACTGCCCAGAGAGATATCTGACCAGAACAGGCCAAGGTTTCTCAACCTTGGCACTACTGACACTTGGATCTGATCTGGGTCTTGTTGGGAGTGGGGGCTGCTCTTACACTGTAGGACCCACTAGATGCCAATTGTGCCAGTCAAAAATGTCTGCAGATAGGGGCGCCTGGGTGACCCAGTCGTTAGGCATCTGCATTCGGCTCAGGTCATGATCCTGGGGTCCTGGGATCGAGGCCACATCAGGCTCCCTGCTCAGCAGAAAGCCTGCTTCTCCCTCTCCCACTCCCCCTGCTTGTGTTCCCTCTCTCGCTGTGTCTCTGTCAAAAAATAAATAAAATCTTAAAAAAAAAAAAGTCTGCAGACATTGTCAGATGTCCTCAAGGTAGGGGAGCAAAGTCCAGTGATTTAGAACCACTGGAACAGGCCTATTCAACTGTTATTATGAGCAGTTTAGCTGCTCCCACCCCTGTAGGCCTAGTCTTAATGCTTTAGACTTACATGGGCATGGATGTTTGCTGAAGCAAATCAGATTCAAGAGGCCCAGTTCTGAAGAAAAACTTCAGTCCCATTAAGCAAATTATCTCTTTTTGGCCTAAGTCTCCAAATCCTAAAGTTGCATGGTTATGAAATTTGCTGTGCAATCAGTGTCTTTAGTCTCATGAAAATTAAGTTGTAAACACAGAACACGTGACGTCTGATTCTGTGTTTAAGAAAGAGGAGTGGTGGGGCGCCTGGGGGGCTCAGTTGGTCGAGCGTCTGCCTTTTGGCTCAGGTCATGATCTCTGGGATCAAGCCCCACATCAGGCTCCCTGCTCAGCGGGGAGCCTGCTTCTCCCTCTTCCCCTGCCCCTCCCTCGTGCATGCTCTGTCTCAAAACAATTAAAAAAAAAAAAAAAAAGGAGTGGTGGCACCATGGAAGGTTGGGCCTCATTTTATGATGTGGCTGAGTAATTTGTTGGTTGTTTCTTTGATGTCATTCCTTAGGGTCCAGAGAAGCTTTCTGGAACATTCCTTTTGGAACCAAACTGTTCATGCTTTTGAAGTATTCTGTGGCTGCCGAGAATTCTCATTAACTGAAATGGGGGGTTGGTATTTAATGGACTTCCCCAGTATTGTAGGAGAGGTTCGAACATTTTTACTTGTTCATCTTCTGAATTATTTCCCTTCTCATAGTTATGACCTTTGGCAGGTTTTTATCTCCAACAGTAAAGTGGAACAGAATTGCAATTACAGTTCCTCTAACAAGCCATGTCAGATACAACCCTACAAGTAAGATTGTGGCTGTGGTCAGATTAGTTCATTGGAAAATAAAAATCAAGAGTAAAAGCAACAGGAACCATGAAAGAAATCACCATTTGCCAAAACTGATGTTTGTCCGGATCAAGCAGAGTTTATACTAACAAACTAAAAAATCATGGGAAAAAATCTACCTCACAGACTCTAAAAATCCATCTAGTTAAAAATAGAAATATTTACATTTTAAATTACCTTAATCTGAACTCCTCCAAGGAAATCTACATCATTAAATTCCCCACGGCCTTAAAATGGATGAGAGAGATTTTAAGGTGACCTGTTTTCTTGGTTAGCTGCATTATAGGAGAACTAGGTAATCCATTCTCAAGTAAGCCTTTCAAAATGGCCTGTTTGCGTTCGGAGCTCTCCCGTTCTGCAGTCCTATAAAGTGACGTAACGGCCAGTCTGCGGTTCACTGGAAATAATGACCCAACTTCAACAAGGTCTCACTCTTAGAAGAGAATGCTGCCAGTCTTCTTGACGCCAGGAGAGCAGTGTGCTCAGACCTGTGTCGTTCCCTGACCACCCCCACCCCGAAGAAAGGAAGCAAGGTCCCAGGCCATGATAACAAACCTGTGCTGACACGGGCCCAATGCTTAGGATGTTTACAGTCTCTCAAGAAAAGAAGAGGTCATTGCACGAAAGCAAACATTTTAGATCATTGCTTTATTTCACTATTGTTTAACAACAAAGTTCATTCCTCTCCAGGTGGATCTTGAATTGTTCCCTGTGTTCTTTTCCTCATCCTGAATAAAAAAGGTAATGAAGAAAAAGCCTGTACTTTTGGAGACCTAGAATCTTACTTATGCTAATAAGCTTTTGACTGCAATTTCGTGGTCCGGTATTTCCTGCTGGCATCTTGGTGGTCCCACGGAGCTCCCCACCCTGCAGTGAAGATGGCTGTCCACAACTACCACCGTTGAAACCAAAGGTAAGTGTTGAAAAATGCACCTTTTACAATAAAAAAGTAGAAACCAATTCAATTTCCTTTTTTTTTTTTTTTACGAATATAAAGTTTCTTGTAAATATGTACAGTCTTTAGAGCTAGTTCTATAGCAGGAAGCATTTCACAAATGAGACACACGATATACACTTTCCAGGCTCAAGAAGCCCATTTCTCATGGAGATCCGAAATGAAATGCCAAGACTGAAAGACCAGTTTTCAGTGACCTTTCCAAATACTTGTGGACCAAGAGACAAAAACTTCAGCAAACATTCAGTCTGATCTGCCCTGGGGAAGGGAGGGGATGCGGTATGACCCCAAAGACTCCAAGCAACACATAAAACAACAGTGTGACACCTGCCAAGGCCGTTAACAACACGAGGGAGGGACACAGGCGTTCCAAACAAGAAAGCACTTAGGTTAAGAGACGAGCAGGAAGGAGCTGGGATTTGGGCCAGGTTGCAATCTGGAAAGTGATCTGAACTGTGGACAACGTGGGTGGAAATGTGGTTATGTTCACCTGCGGTGGTGGAAACAGGTCTACCTTTCAGCCTACCTAGGATGTGCCTTGGTGTTTGAGGCCTGCCTAAAAGAGTCATGGAGAATCTGAAGCAAGAGATGCCTTATGGGAGATTAAAGGCAGAAATAAGGCCGCTAGTTAGCTTGCCAACTGCAAAGCCTCTAGGTTGCTGCTTTACCAGTTGCCAGGAATTTTGCATTCTGGTAGCGGGTAGAGAGAACCCGTGTGCGCTGCACTGCACCTGAGGACCTCCCAACCCCAGCAGAGGCGGAGGAGGGGCCGCGGTGCTCTCGAACTTCCTGGTCTTCGTCTAGCCCTAGGGAAAGGCTCCCTTGGGAAGTCACAGTTTCGTGGGGGTAGAACCGTGCTGGATTGTGTGTGAACAGAGTCATCCACGAGGGAGTCGGCAGGAAAGCGGGAAAGTGTGAGTTGGTGGTTTGCTGAAATCCTTCTCTGGTCGTAAGGCTTGAGCGTTTGGTTGGTTGTTCAGTGCTACAGACTGCAGCTTGTGGCCAGTGAGTTGGCAAGTGGTCAGAGGGTCTCAATTCAGCGGGAGCTGTGGTATGGTACTAGTACTTCGGCAGAGCAACCCAAGGGGGGCAGCCAGGTCGGGGGGGGGGGCAGCACATGCAGTGAACCGCCATGCAGAACTCCCGGATGGGTCTCTTCCCATCCCAGGGTGGGAAACAATGCACTGTCATGGACAGGAGGTGGGCGCCCCCAGTCCCCTCCTGGACCCAGAGACTCCTTAATGCTGGGCTCCGAGCAAGTCTATTGCATGCTTTCCTGGCCAAAGCTATGTGGAAAGCAGGGACAGCAGGCTGGGGAGATGACGCGGAGGGGCAGGGAGGGAGAGCTCCTCGAGGGCCCATGGCCCCAAGTCACTGCCTCCAAGCTGAGGCCTGATGACCTCCGTACATTCTCAGCTGGTGGGAGGGGAAGTCGTCAAGGCCATAAAAGGCAATGAGAACAGTAAACATTTGGCTAAGATGTCACCCTGGGTAAAACAGGGCCATCTGTGAGAATGGACTGGGATAAGAATGAACCTACATGAGCTCAGGAGGTTGGCCAACTGGCGGGGACTCTTCCACAATACGTTTCCGGAGCAAAGACCCGATGGTGTGATCTAGCTAAAAATAACTACAACGGGAAATACATTGCTATTCAAATCTATTAAGAATTCTGTTGTCTTAAAAAAAAAAAAAAAAAAAAAAGGAAATCCAACCAACCCTAGGATCTTAAAGTAGCTATTCAATAGGATTCTAACCACGTTGTAGTTAGCGCAGGTTGGTTTCCTTTGATGAACCGGTAGAGGCTAGAGCTAGGTATAAAAGTTTATGAATGCTCTGAAAGAGTAACAAAGTGCACGGAGGATGACTGCAGGAAGGCGCTGACAGCTCCTAAGAGCCTCGGCCCCTGCACCGCCTGGATGCAGGGTGTCCACACTGAGGTGGCTCTGGGCCCAGCTGTGCCTTGGGGTGGCTGAGCAGATGGGTGCTGGGGGCCCCTTCAGCAGAGTTCCTTAGAGTGTTTGGTGTTTTCCTGCAGATTAAGATGAGGAGTTGGTTTTCCTGGCTGAGATTTACACTGAAGACTGGTCCCAGACCTAGGAGCAAAATGAGGAGGAGTTTTAGCTGAGGGGGCCAGGAGTCCCTGGGCTCGCCCCGCATAATCCCCGTAGGAAGCGTGCCACACTTGGTCTCCCTGTGGCCGTTAACACCGAGTGCTGCCCGGGCTGGCAGCAGCGAGCAGAGCCAAGCCGCTGAGCTCGGGGTTCGTCAGGGAATGTAATTCACGGAAAATTCTCCAAAGCTATGGATGGATCTCTGTTACACGTACACACACACTTGTCCCCATTTTATCAGTAAATCAGAGGGGCTAAGAAGAAACACTGACTGGCTTTTCCTCTTCTCTTTATTGGCAGGGGTCCCAACAGTGACCTGTAGGTGGCATTAGGAGAATGTGTTCTAGAAAACCAGCCCCCTTTCTGGCCCCCCGGGACAGAAAGGTGGCTGTGCTGTCCAGAGGGGGCCCCTGGAACTGGCTAGCCTGCCGAGGAGGCACCAAGCACTCAGACCCTCCACCTGCTCATGGGGGCCCCCTTGTCTTCAAGACCTCCCACCATCTCTTCATTCGCTAACTTGAAAAATTACATAGATAACACATGCATACAATTTAGAGATTTCAAAAGGCTCAAAGTTCTAGAAGGCAACCACTGTTCCCAGTTTCTGTGTAGCCCTCCAAGAAAAATTCTTGATGTACGTGTGTATCTGTATATTTGCTTGAAAAAAATAAGGCATAAACATTTTGCGTAGTATGCTATCATTTGTGTTTAAGAAGGGAGGATACGCATACATATTTGCTTATATGCATAGAATATCTCTAGAAACTGTTAACACTGGTTGCCTCTGGGGAAGGGAATGATCTACCCTAGGGTACCTGTTACATTTTGAGGTACACATGTACACATCATCCATCTGCTTAGAAAGCCCTCTTAAATATGTTTTCTTCCTAAACTTGCTATATGTCCTGAAAAATCTGAATGATAATAAATCCCCCCCCCCCTTTTTTTTTTTCTAACAGTGGCCCTGAAGGGCCCTCAGCTCCCCAGGTCACTCCTCTGGCCTCAGGATGTGCCTGACCTTGTTGACCTGGGACAGTGGGGTCCTCACGGCTCCCACAGGCAGCCGGCCCCGGCTGCTGTCTTCAAACAGCCTCCCAGGGGAGCGTTCCCTCCGTGTGCTGAGCATCCGGCCTGGGGACTTCTCCCGCTCCAGGGGGCGGCCGGGAGACTTGTCCCTGCGCAGCTCTGTCCGCCCCTCTCGGTAGCGGTGGGGTGTGCTTGGCTCTCGCGGGTGGCTGGGGCCTTCCGGTGGTGCCGGGCTAGAGGCCACACGCTTGGTGATGTGCTCGTTGTACGTTGGCGGGCCTCGCTTGTTGGGGCTGCAGGCAACAGGAAAGGGAGATGCGGAGCTGAGAAGTCATAACCCCAAAGGGGCATCTTCCTCCTCTGAGAAACACCCATGCCCCAATCTTTAGTAGAAAAGATCCCACCTGAAGTTCTTCAGGCTTTTTGTTTTCTTTTGGTAGTGAGGACAGGGAAAGAAAGATGACAAAACAAAAAAAACAAAAAAGCTTCCTGCTCTCAGTGCAGGTTTTTAATGAGCACCTACTGTGTGCCCAACCCTGTGCTAAGCTCTTTATGTGCTTCGACTCATTAAATCATCATAACAGCTCCACGGGCTAGGAACAAGCATGACCCTCACCGTTCAGACAAGAACCTAGAGCTGCAGAGCTGGGACTCTGACACAGGTCAGTTTGACATCCTAATTCCATCCTGTATCCTACTGACCTGGTATTTTGCAGAGCCTAGAAGGCACAGAAGGAAGTCTTTATTTAGGGGTGAGACTGCTACCAGGCCCTTGATACAAGGGAGCAATTTTGAGAAAGCCTGTGCTCATCACTGTCAGCTGCCATCTCTGTCCCCCCGCCTCGGCCTGGTGTTCAGTCACCTCTCCTTCCAGGTGGCTTTCCAAGACTCTTGGGCACCTAATACTGATGTGAGAGGTATGGGGATCAGGCCTGACAGAATTAGAACACTGAGCAGGACAAATAAAAACAGTATAGTTGGCTCAAAACATGTCCCTGGCCCCAAAGGTTTATAGTAATAACCAAACAATTGAAAACACTGGGGCCTTTTTGTATGGCCCATCCAACCCTCCATCCAGCTCTGGCCTCGATATTTCAAATGAAGATTTCAGCAGATACAGCCCTAACCATCTCTCTGAAGAAGCGAGATCCAGAAACAGAACTGAGAGTCAATTCCTTCCCACTCCAATGAGCAGAAAAAGTACTCAATCCTCATCATCTCAGCACAATTAGAGCTAGGAAAAGGGAACCTACTTAAAATGGGCACATTTTATAGAGAATATTACTTGGAGAACATATTTTGATTGATTGGGGCTTTATCTCAGAAAATAAAAGTAGAAATCAAGAAAGTAAATTTATCCTCATTATTTTTAAAATCTAAATTACAATTGGAATTATATGCCGATTCTAAGAATGAGCCAAGTATGAATCACATACTGATTTAACTCGCTCTAATTTTTGCAACACAATTGTATGCTAATATACTCAATGACATACTTTCTGTCAATGTTGGACTTCTGCAGTAAAGTCAAAGTCATTTCTTCAAAAATGAGAGTGTCATTGATTTTCCCAGAGGCCTATCTTAATCCTTGATATTTAAATCCTTCTCTTTGAAAGGGGCCAAATTTGTTGTTTTTTTCTTCAGTTATTGATCTGCCAGAATCGCTTCTGGCAATGCCCATAATTAAAAACAAAGACATCTACCGGGGGAGGAGAGACTCTAGAGCAAGCTTGAGGGCCAAATCCAGAGAGATTACCTGTTTTTATAAATAAAGTTTTATTGGAACACAGCCATGCCCATCACCAGATGCACTGTCTATAGCTGCTTTCACACAATAGCTGAATAATTGAGACAGACCATATGGCCCACAAAGCCAAAAATATTTACTATCTGAACCTTTACAGAAAAAATTTGCCAATTCCTGCACTACAGTGAAACAGAAAGGTGAGAAGCGATAATTTGATAAGCGATCAGTTCATTGTGAAGATTTTCATATGATTCTCTGGTTTCCCTGTGCAACTCTTAACTGTGAGGATTCCAGACAACACGCCCAGAAAGCCAGAACCCCCCTGTGCTACATGTCCAGTGAAAAATTTAAGATAACTCAGATTTCAACATCTTGAAATAAAGTTTTATATTCCTCTCTAGTCATGTGGCTTTAAGATACGGAAGACAAAAATAAATTCCAAGTAGGAGAATTATATTAAGCCTATTTGTAATGGAAGGGAAATTATAAAATGTGTCCACAGGGGCCCATCATAAAGCAAGAAGGATGGCTCCAGGAAGACCGTTTGGAATGTTGGCTTAGATTAATGGAATGAGGGCGCCTGGGTGGCTCAGTTGGTTGAGCGACTGCCTTCGGCTCAGGTCATGATCCTGGAGTCCCGGGATCGAGTCCCACATCGGGCTCCCTGCTCAGCAGGGAGTCTGCTTCTCCCTCTGACCCTCCCCCCTCTCATGCGCTCTCTCCCTCACACTCTCTCTCTCAAATAAATAAATAAAATCTTTAAAAAAAAAAAGATTAATGGAATGAAAGAAAATACCTATCATTCTAGGCCAAGTGGGCAATCTCCCATCTCTGTATCCATTAACGACTAATGATCTCCCATGCCAATTTTATGGGGTTTTTTATTTGTTTGCAAAGAGTTACATTTCCTGCTCTGCTAAACAGACCAGGTCAGTGAGGCCTTGCAGTGAATCACACTCAACCAAGCTGGCCTTCTACATTCTGACCTGCCAAAGCAGCCTGCATAAAAAGACCATTTTATAAGCCAAGAGACAAGCAAAGACTAACCGCAATTTTCTGGACATGCCTGGCCACAGCAGGAAAGCAACAGCATTGTCTCTGCCTCTCCTTCACAGGAACTGGAACTCCTTTCAACCACAGAATAAGCAACTTCTTACAGAGACACTATATAGTCTCAAAAGGAAGGTGCCTGCCATCTAATTAGTAAGGCAGTAGAGAAAAAAAAAAAATTACAGTACTTTGATTTGTTCTTGGCATGACTTGGGAACTACTTAAAATCTCGACATTTTCAGGAGAGAACTATAGTCCTTTGAGCAGTTACTCTTGAGGCAGGGTCAAGCCAAAAGAGTTAAGAACTGCTGGTTATTTACCACTTATTTACCACTTCTGGTTTTCTAGCAAGTGCCCGGGATTAAAATTACACTGACCAAACATTTAGACCAACCTCTTGTATTTCAACAGAAGAAAGACTATTCATTAGGACGTAGTCTCAAAATGTTAGATTTATGATGTTCTTTTCCAAGACCTAAGCACTTTTTAAATATTAGAGATAGTTCCTCCACCAAATTGAGAGTCCCTTGAGAATAGAAACATGTCTTCATCAGTGTATCCCCAGCCCCAGATACCTTGTCTAGCACACGGTAGGGGATCCACATAACTCTTTACAGGGTAGACACAGCAGGGCAGAAAATTTAAATCCTAGGTCAGTTAAATATTCCCCTGGGTTAAATAATCTCAGAACTTCTTTGTAGACCAAGAACTTAAAGTTACACATCTCAAACCTACCCATCAACCTGGATCTGGCTCAAAGACTTCTATGTCAAGACAAGGTCAGTCCCACTTCCCACGCACTGCTGGTAGGATTAAAAATGGATATAGCCTTCAGGGAGGAATACTCAGCAACATCTATCAAAATTACAAATGGACATCCGATGTCACCCAACAATTTTTTTCCCTAGGAATTTATCCTACAGATGGATTCCTAAGCATGCAAAATGACATAAGCACAAAGTCATTTAATTTATTACAGCAACAGTCTGTGAACCACCGAAACATCCAGATACAGGAGCAGTTAAATAAATTAAGGTCACACGAAGGCATAAATGCTGTGTAGGCATAAAAAACAATAAAGAAATACTTCTGATACTGACATGGAGCAACCTCCAAGATACATTCAGGTACAGAAGAATGTGCAGTGTGCTATCACCTGTATTAAAAAGGGGAGGAACGCTTCCAGAATGGTACAGTAAGGACTGCTGAAAACCCGTTCCTCCATAAAAGCAACCAGAACACTGAAAACAACTGTCTAAATAAACTTTTCAGAACTCTGGAAATTAACCAAAGACTTGCAACAACTCAAAGAGCAAGAGCATTTATGTAAAAAATAGCTGAATCTCTGTAAGAACAGCAAGCTTTGTGACATGTTAATGTGACCTCTTCCCACCCTTTTCTCCCCAGATCTGCAGTTTTGAAACCAACGGCCCTGTAACCACAGCAGCACTGGAGGGAGATCAGGATTGAAGCCCCAGCCCCAGCAAACAGTCCCCATCTGACCTGTCTGGCTACTCCTCTGGCTACCATTCTCCGGGCTTTTTAGCTGACCTGACACAGGATTTGCTCATGAGAAAAGCCCTATTCCCAGATGTTTATCAAAAACAATCAGCAGCAAGTGTTTAACCTGGCAAATACCTGAGGCAGTGATACCAGTTGGGGAAGAGGCTGGCCAAAACACTCAAAAGGCAATCTGGGAATAAGATTTTTGAAATGGTCCCACATATTTGTAGGAATCTAGAAGGCTACACACACGGGTAAGGCTCTGCAAATGCCCGGGAAAAATCTGAGAAGGCCTCAGTCTCTCAACTCTGGCTTACTTTGAGCATTGAAGGTATGCCCAACACACACACACACACACACACACACACACACACACAGAACCGCTCAGCAAAGGGTGGGAGACTTCCTGGTTCAATGCATTGAAGGAAATCTCTGCCCAATCATTAGCAGATGACTAACTTAACCAAGCGGAAACCTGAATGGCCACACATAACAAAGAATACAGACTTTACAGATTTAGTCCCGGAGAGTCACTCAATAAACTGCAACAACAAACGCAGGGGAGGGGTGGGGGTCTGATTTCCAGAGTTGCCACATTATATTATTTGAAATGTTCAGTCTCCCAACAAAAAATTAGAAGACATGCAAAGGAAGAGGAAAGCATGGCCCATACGGAAGGCCTTATTTCTTCTGGGAAATCTTCCCTGGCCCCCATGTCCAGGCTGGCAACCCTCCTCTGGGTTCCCAAGGTGTCTTAAACTACCCCAGTTTGAGCCCCATCCTCCTAGGCTGTGCTATAATTGCCTGATTGCTCATGTCTCTCGCCCACTGGGCTCTATGAGGGAGGGACTGCATCTGGTTTATGCCGCGCTATACCTCCCATAGCAAGCCCAACTAGCGCGGCAGAATATCTGCTAAAGCAATGAATGCATAATTCATGATCCATTCTAATGCCACTGAGAATACCCAACAGAGAAAGGCCAGACATTTCCCTCCACCTTTTCCAAGGGGGCATTTAAAAATTCTCCCAATACTCGAAAAGGATGGAGTCACTTTCATGCGGTATCTCAAAGAAAGGAGTGGTTTGAGCTTGAAGATTGGGGAAACCTTTGACCAGCTTAGCAAAATTTCCTTCTACCTTACAGAAAAGCACTCTGCATCCTGTAATGAAGAAGAGGGGAAGTATGGTACCTGCGGGAGGTGGGGGGGCCCCGGTGGTGGTCAGTGCCGGACTCCTTCACGAGGTTTCCTTTGCAGCAAATGACCCGTAATTTATCCTGGTATGAGGACGCCAGGTAAATCGCTCCTGAGGAAATTGCAGGGCCCAAGTAGCGTGGGTTCGGGATTTCCAAATACGCTCGGGCAGGAGTCCTGAGGAGTTCCAGGTAAGAGTTTACATTCAGGTTACCTCCATTGCTAGGAGGGATGCGAAGAAACAGACACTTGGCCCCGACCCCCGACCCCAACAGCTGAGCTTTTCAAAGCCTGAAAGGGCAATGCTTACCCCAGAGAGGAGCGTGCCTGGATCTCAATGACTTCGAGTGAGTTGAAGTGGGTCACAAACAGATAGGGTTCTCTGTAGGCTGCATGGCCACAACAGAAGAAGAGCATGGAGCAAGGAAGGGTTAAAAGAGGATATCAAAACCAGGCTGCAATGCTACCTTGGACCCAGCAATCCCACCTAGAATAATTTAGCCTACACATAACATCCATGTGCCAACATAATGAGGCATGTTCAAGTTTACTCACTGCCATGTTGTTAGAGCAGAAGATGGGAACCAAATCAAGGGTACGTTATAGGGGGTCAGTTAAATATATTATGGTTCAACTGTGGGATTCTGCACAGCTATAAAAATGCATGAAGCTATGTACGGATGCATAAAAAACCCTGAGGTGTGTTTTACTTAGTGTGCAAAGCAAGATTCAGAATAATGTGTAAAGTGTGGCACCACACTGATTTAGAAAAAAAGTGTGTGTGTGGGGGAGGATAAGAATATATTTTCAAGGCGCCTGGGTGGCTCAGTCGTTAAGCGTCTGCCTTTGGCTCAGGTCATGATCCTGGGTCCTGGGATCGAGCCCCACATCGGGCTCTGCTCTGCGGGAAGCCTGCTTCTCCCTCTCCCACTTCCCCCTGCTTGTGTTCCCTCTCTTGCTGTGTCTCTGTCAAATAAATAAATAAAATCTTAAAAATATATTTATTTTTTCTTATGCATCTGTATTTGCACAAAGCACTGAAAGGATAAGAAGCAGGAGTTTCCCCCCCATCTTGGGGGAGTGGGGATGGAGAATTGGAGAGATAGGTTATATGGGTGAGACTTTTCATAGTATACCTTTTTAAACTGTTTAATTCTGTACATTTTCAAAAAAAAAAAAAAAAAGACTGAGTTCAAAGATAATTAAATATTTCTAATCTTAATACTATATGTCTATATCCTAGCATCAGTGAAACTCTAGGATATGATGGGAGCCTTTTCTGTCTTAAAAGGAAAAGGAAATTATCACTATTATCCCTTGTGGTAAACCAAGACTTTGGTTTTGGACAATGAGTCATGCCTCCCGGTACTCAGGCCCTAGTGGAGCCTCCTCGCCTTGAATCTAGGCTGACCCCGTGGCTGCTTTAACCAGTAGAATGTGGTGGAAGCAACAAAGGCCAGCCAGCTTCTACTTTCGCACTCCTGGAAGAAGCCCACGTGGAGAGGAACTGAGGTCTCCAGCCTCCAGCCTCCAGCCTCCAGCCTCCAGCCTCCAGCCCCCAGCCCTGGCTGAGTTTCCACCAACTACACCAATTGGCCGCCATTTTGTGAGGCCATTTTGGACTTTCTAGTTATCCCAGTGCCCCCACTGGTACCACATGAAGCAGAACTGTCCAGTCAAGCCTCAGCATCTTGGGCAATAATAAGTTGTTGTTGTCTTGTCCATATGCAGCAAAAGAGAAACCAAATAGCCTTGACGGGTATTTTAGCCATAACAGTGTTTCAGAACATTTACACCAATATGTGTGTACGTATTTGTACATGTGTGCGTGTTTATGTATATAGGTGTTTATGCGTGACCCAGCAGCTCCAATTTTAGGGCTTATGAGCAGCAGATACTAGACAAGTGTGCAGAGATTAGTGCAAGATGTTCAAGAATGAGCATGACCTACGTGCTCTGCCTAATTAGAACTGGTTAAATTGACAGGTGTTCAGCTATGCCATGGAGTACCCTGCAGCCTTTGAAATGATTTAAATAAATTCACAGGGAATGCTCTCCTTTCTTCATGAGAACCTAACAAATATTTCACAAGGCTGGTGGATCTGGCATATGCAGTTCTTCATCAAGCATCAGAATCTTTGCCCTGAACACTTCAGGGGACTACGACCTATGGCACTTGGTGTCTAATGTAATCCACAGGCATAGCGCATAAACCAAAAAGGATTCCACCTGCAATTCTTTCCTAGAACTCCAGCTGCTGGCAGAATAGAGCCCTCCAGACCTTGGTTCACTTACCAAAGGCCAAAGGTAAGCGACTCCACTTGAGATCGTCTGTGCGGCTACGTCTTCCGTAAGAATCCACGAACACCCCAAATTCTGCAAGGAGTTTGAGCCGGGGGGCGTCGGCACAGAGGCAACAGAATCAATGACACTACACACTTTGCCAGAAGAACAAGGGATTGAGCCCAGGGGACCAGCAGCCACATTTAACTGGATCGTTAAGACCTGAGGACCTTTGCTGAGCCACGTCTCTCAGAGATGTGTTAAAGGAAAGTGGGAGAGACAGGAAAGAAGGAGCAAAGGGGGGAGGAGGAAGAGACGGGAGACATGGAGGAAGGGAAAGGGAAGAAACAGAGACCCAGACACAGGGCGGAAGAGACAGGAGGACCCAGAGATTTGCCGTGGGGGAGGGGAAGGGAAAGGAGGAATAAAAAAGAATGAAGAGAAACATCAAAAGAAAACCCAAGAAAGAAGGAACGGAAAAGAGAGAAAGGAAAGGGAGAGAGAGAAGCAAGGGGCGGAGAAGGAAAGAAGTGGCTGCTCTCAGGACAGAGTATGATGGAGCTGGACCGGGCGAGAGCCCTGGTGGGGGTCTGGGACTCCCGGCACCCGCAAGCCCTCAGGACAGTGGCCGGCAGGGAGCCCCGACTCACCGTGGAAGCAGAGCAGGTATTCCTCCCGCTGCCCTGCGCTGTTCACCTGCACGATCGAGACAGGGAAACTGTTGGAAGAGGAGGCAAACACAGCAGGCGCCAAGGAATGGTCATTCTTATCCAGGAATTCTGTAAAGGCAGGTGGGAAGCGGGACGTCAGGGAGGAGCCAGAGTTGGCGGTGAGGCCAGGGCAGAGATTGGCTGGGGGGGGGGTGCGGGGGGAGTGCGGGTGGACTAGGACCCTACCCTCAAGCGTGTACTGCTTCATGTCAATTTCGTAGAATTTATTGGTTCCAATGAGGATACTGTAATTGGTGAAGTGGATGCAGCTGCAGGGCTCTGAGGTCTCTATCTCCTGAGACAGAGGGTAGAAGAAAACGATGTGAGTTAACACAGGGCAGCCCCATTTCCACTGCTATTCCATTTCCCCCTCAGGCATCTCCCCGAGCCTTAGAGACGGTCGCCTCTGGACTTGTTCACGTTCTCGGCCACACAAAGCACACACACTCAATCCTTTCACGTCCCCCATGAAGACTAATAATTCCTTTGCTACCTCTGTGTTCTTTGCAACCCAGACCAAGAAAATAATATCAAATGGCAGCCCAAAAAAGAGAAACACCATTTCAATGGAAAGGTTGCATTCAAAGACAGATCTTTAAAAATAATAAATTCTTATCTGAGGAAAAAGACTGGAAAACACAGGGCTGGTTAGAGGGAGTGGTTTTAGCTTCCTTCTTTTTGTGAGCTAAGTTTCTAACACGAACCTCTATTACCTATATAATTATTCTCATCACTGTTGTTGTCATCTCTTCCCTTCCCCTCCCCCATGGCAAATCTCTGGGTCCTCCTGTCTATTAGTGACCAGCTTTCTAATTACTTCCACTTGTTTTCAGGCCCATCCTAATATTTTCAAAAACCTAGGCATGCTTATTCAAAATGGTGGCCAAGAATTATGAAGCAGCACTGATTTCTGAGGCTTTTCCTCAGTTCAAAATCTAATCTGCACTATCACCACTGCATATTTACTGAGCAGCTGGTAAGTATGAGGAGACGTTTAGGCAACATGACACAGTGAAAGCAGGGAACAATCAAACTTCAGAGTTTGGGTCTCAACTTTGTAACAGGATCTCAGCCGGCCTCAATGGCCTCACCTGAAAATTGGGGATTACCACCCGTGCATTTCAGGGCTGTTGTGAAAAGTGTTTGTAAAATAGTCAGCTGGGTCTTTGGTACCAGTAGGTGATCGATAAAATTAAACAAACGAACAGCCCGCCCAGGATGAAACTGTTTCCCTAACACATAATGACCCTTATATATTCACCCCGCATTTCACTTGAGACTAATCGTGAAGGCACCTGAAATAAATTAGGCTTACAACAGGTGGAGTTTTCCTAATCTAGGGACAACGGCCAGCCTCTGGAAGGGAGGCAAATGATCTAATGTGCACCCTGTCCACACTGCAGTCACCATCACCACCACTCTGCTCCACGGAGAATCAGCTCCCTAATTACAGCTAGGAACACAGTGAGCACTGGCTTTTCCAAAAGTTATTAATGGAAATGTCTAGGATCCGACAAAGATTCTGTTAAGTGTGGCCAGGGACTGCTAGCTTCTCAGAGAGAGCTCTTTCCTTTTTTATGCTAATTTAAAAGTGTCTCTTCCATCAGCCTGCTTCCTTTCCCCTTAACAAAGAGCTGAATTCACTGGGCTGGCTGGAGAGGCAGCTCACAGGCAGGAGAAAGAAAGTGAGAAGGAAAACTGCAGCTACTCAGGGCTCTGGAGCTTTCTCCAGGAAGGAAGGGTGTGTCTGCTTGTCCGTCTCTCTCTCTCTCCGGAGGTCACCCAGGCTGAAGGGACCGGGCACACACTGGTCCCTGAGGCAGCACACTTTCCACACTAAGTGGGGGAACAGCAGGATGGCCGAGGCCCAGGACTTACTTTCCGAATGCAGTACTTGCTGAGGTTTTCGTTGTAGCGGAGGAGGACAACTTTGCTGGGCGTGGCTGCGCAGATGCAGAGCCCGTTCTCAATCTGAAAAGCGATCAGGGAAACGAAGAGAAAGAGAGGGTCACTGGTGTGTATGCTGGCTCCATAGCAAAACTAGGAACGTGACACCAATTTAGAGCAGAGTTTCTCCACCTCGGTATTACTGACGCCAGACCAGATGATTCTCTGTGGCGAGAGGCTGTTCTGTGCATTGTAGGGTGTTTAGCAGCAACCCTGGGCTCTACCCTCTAGATGCCAATGGCACAACCACCAGCTGTGAAGGCCAAAAATGTCTCCAGACACTGCCCAGTGTTCCCTACGGGAGAGAACTGCCCCTGCATAAGAACCACTGATTTAACAAAGACCTGCCAAAGGCCCCTGGAAATCCCGTGACACGACACACATTTGGTGTGTATGCACCTTCTGCTAGAGACTGGGTCTTTTGACGATCTTACCCTGAGGGAGGAAGGCAGTAGAAATTACCTCAAGAATTTAGAGACTGTGGTTCAAAGAGAAAAGTTCTTAGCTAAGATCTGTGTACGTGGAGTTCTCTTTTTCTGGAACAGCTGAATCACTCTTACTTCGCCTCCCAATATCAGGTCTTTGTCATTTCACCAAGGGCGAAAAGAAGCTTCTCAAATCAGTACTGACATGAAGGTCAGCAGTTGGGGGGGAGGGGTGGAATGAGATGGGATGGGAGAGGGAAGGAACACACAGGAAAATGGAAACTGTTAGTAATGTTCTAGCTCTCGGGGTGGGTAGTGAGTTTGGGGATGTTTATATTATTAGATGTTATAATTTTATAATGTACCTATTTTTTTAGTAGTTCCAACACTGTAAAATGCCCATTTCTAGGTAACTCATCATTCACAGAAGAAATCGTAAGAAATTTTAAAATACGTGGAATGATAAAAATTTACAGGATGTGACTAAAATTGTAGTTAGAGGGAAAATGTATGGCCTTAAAAGGCTTATCTTAAAAAAAAAAGACCTGAAAATTAATTAGCTAAACAAGAGATTAGAAAGAGAACAACGGAGGAAAGCCAGAGTAAACTGAAGGAAGGAAAAACAAAGATTAAGGAAAAAGCAAAAATCAATGATAAATAAGATAATGCTATCATAGCAAGAATCAGTACAGCCCGAAGCTGCTCCTTTATAAAGATTAGTAAAATCGGTATAATGCTGATGAAATTAAGATGAATGAGAGATCCAGCACAAGTAATATTAGGGATAAAAAAATGCAACAGCTATAAGAGAGTATAAAACAAAGAACAAAAAGCAGAAAAAAGGAGAGGAAAAAACTGTTCTCTTTAAAAAGAAGAATTGATAAAACTGAAAAGGTACAGTGTTCCTTGCTGGGTCCCTATCTGGAAATCCTGGGTCCTTCCAGCAACGTCCTTTATCAGTCCCTCAAGATTCACCTCCTCCGAGAAATCTTTGCAAATTCTAGGCCAGCCATCCTCTTCCTTTTTTTTTTTTATCCTCTTCCTTTATATTCTATCCTCTTTTTATTGTTGCCACAGTTAATCCCAACCGTTGTAAAAGTGACTAAGAAAAGAATCCCACCAGCCCCACGGCCAGAGGGTTTCAGAAACCAAAAGTCCTCAAGAACAGTGGCCACGGCCAAGGTCAAGCCCCCCCTCAGAAGGTTCCTGTGGCCCACTGCACCCCTCCCCTGTTGGTCCTCCATCCCTCAGCACAGACCCCTCTGAAGGCTCGGTCAAGTACATAGGATGTGCTAGGTAAACGTTGACTGAGTGACTAAATGCCAAATACCCAGTGAACAGTGAACAGAAGACTTTCTGAGAAGGGAAAGGCAGTGGTTTACAACGGGAGAACTCCAGTAGCCTCAGGGAGTCTACAAATGCTTGATTCAGATTTTATTAAAGTTATATATGTTCACGTGTATGCACCCACAAATACTCTTAATTTTTTTTAATAAAAAAAAATTTCCTTAAAGAAGCAGGCAAGCAAATGTATTTATGTGCCAAAATCAATATGCTATTAGCTACCAAAGAATTAACTTATCAGGAACTGACTTTATGTTATATAAATGTCATAAATCAGAATTTGCAAGTTTTTAGTAATAAAACATTTTGTCACTTAGTTCACATGGGGTTCCATGTTAGATTAAAAAAAAAAAAAAAAAAGACTAGGGGCGCCTGGGTGGCTCAGTCAGTTGAGCAGCTGACTCTTGATCTCAGCTCAGGTCTTGGTCTCAGAGGTCGTGAGTTCAAGCCCCATGCTGGGCTCCATGCTGGGTGTGGAGCCTTTTTTAAAAAAAAATGAAAATAAAAAGGACTCCATCGTACATACACACACACACACACACACGCACACACTCACATGTACACTCACACACACTTTTTAAATTTATTTTACTTATTTTATTTTTTTGAAGATTTATTTATTTATCCTAGAGAGAGAGATCACAAGCAAGGGGGAGGGGCAGAGGGAGAATCAGACTCCCCGGGGAGCAGGGAGCCCGATGCGGCACTCAATCCCGGGACCCCGGGATCATGACCTGAGCCCAAGGCAGACGCCCAACTGACTGAGCCACCCAGGCGCTCCCACACACTTTTTTTAAACTATGGATCATCCTTTTAGTTTTGTTAATTTTATCCTCATTTTTCTCTCTGACGTTTCCTTTGGACTCAAAGCCTGAGCAAACTTCATGGCTACATAAATTGTTTCGTGTGCCTAAAGGAAGCAACAGAAATTTAACCCAATGAGAGGACAGTTGGTTTTCAAGGTCAAATCAATGAGCCCTGTAGAAAGGGGGGCAGAGCTGATTTCCAGAACACTCGGCCCGCCGAGGCCCTGAGGAGAGCTTACCTTGCCGGCAGCAAATAAGTGGCAGCCCTTCACGGCTTCGAAAACGTTGGGGGAGATGTCGGGCTGGGCGGGAAGGTGAGCTTGTGCGAGGGACTGCTTCACTTTCTTCACGTCAACAAGGCACAGAGCCCGCTCTTCTCCTGAGGGGGAAGGAAGAGCCTCAGGTCAGTGTGAGGCAGGGAAGCAGAGACCCGGGAAGGCAGTTCTACCTCTCCTCACAAGGAGCCAGGCGGGGCCACGCAGATGAACAGTTTTCCACAGAGTCCTGTCTACACGGCTCCGGTCCAAGTTTTAGAAGTACAGTGAAAAACATCTGGCTTCTTGGTCAAGATGCTGGGATGGAAAAAAAAAAAAACCTCTGCAGACGTAAAATCCGAGAGCATGAACTGGACTTTTAAACATGCTCCCACCAAAGTGGAAAGAAGGATGGGTTAGGAGCACCGACGGGACATGTTATAAAACCACAGGCTTGGACTCTTCCAATATGCCAATGTCATGGAGGACTAAAATCCATTCCAGATTACAGGGGACTACTGGGACACCACTAAACGTAATGCACGACCTGGGACGGGATCACAAATCAGGGCGAAAAATACCAGAAAGGACATTATTGGAGCTGCGGGTAAAATCTGACTCCGGGCAGCGTATGAGACAAGTGCATTACAGCAAGGGTTAAATTTCTTGAATTCCAAAAACCGGGCCACGTGACACTATCCCGTGTGATACTCCGATGGTGGATCTGTGCCCTGACACGTTTGTCTAAACCCATGGGAGGGACACCACCAAGAGTGAACCCTAATGGAAACCGTGGAGCCAGGGTGATGATGTGTCACTGTGGGTTCATTAGTTACGTCCAGTGTGCCACTCTGGTGGGGATGGTGACAGTGGGGGCAGGTGGCATCCGGGAACTCTCTGTACTTTCTGCTCAATTTCGCCGTGAGCCTAAAACCACTCTAAAGAATAAAGTCAAGAAGGAAGGGAAGAAGGTGGGGATGGAGGGCAAGGAAGGAAAGGAAGAACAGGAAGGGAGGCAAGCAAGCGGAAAGAAAGAAACAGAAGAGGCAAAGAGACGGAGTGTTGGAAGACCCAGAAAGGCCAGGTCCTGACCCTATTACTTCACCCCCAGAGGCATCCGGCCACACCTGAAACAAGACCTGGCTGTGGATGTTTTCGAACACTGAGCCAACAAATTACTGTTGTCCCTTAAGAAAAAAAAAGGACCACCAATAAAGAGAGAAAAAATTTTTTCTGCCGTGGTTGTGTAAGAGAATGCTCTTGTTCTTAGCTGATATGCTAAAGACTTTGGGGTCCCAGCTGCGAGGGACTCTCAGACGGTTCAGCAGTTAGTGTGTGTGCGTGTGCGTGTGCGTTTGTAGAGGAAGAGGGTAAAAATATGGCAAACTGCTAACAGTGGTGAACAGGCCAGGGGTCTCCGAGGGGTCCCAGAGAAGTGAGAGGCTACATGCTAACAGCAGGCAAGCTCTCAGAAGGCCACGGCTCACGATGGCGTTGACGTCACCATGACGTCGGCATCAAAGGGTCTGCCGTTCATGACACTTCGGGGCTCACTAGTCCTCACTCGGCATAACGGTAAAGTGCTCTTTGGGGGTGTCAGACTGTGCTGCACAGGCCACCACGGGAGTGAATCTGGGCCGAGAGTGCCGTCGGCTCGGGCACCGATGGGGACCCGGAGGAAAGAGCCGCTTTGGCTCCCATCTGCCACCAGGAGGGCCTGCCTTTGTGTTTCACAGGCGTGACACTTGGTCTCAAATAGTCTCCCTCGACGGTGAAAAGAAAGCGCCACGTCCTTGGCCTACCACCTGCTATCATGAGGAGCTTCTCCAGGTCCTTGATGATATAAATTTGGAAGACCGCTCCAATTCCGGGGACATGGGTGAGGGAGTTCTTCAAGACATTCAGTGCGTAGAGCCCTTCCTCAGTGCCCACCAACACCACCTGCAGGAACAGAAGTCCGCAGGCGGAGCGTAAGCATAACCACGTCCCCACGACAACCCCGCAGCGTAGGAAGAGCAAGAGCCCTTTGCCTCGCGACTTCGGGGGGACTACCGCCAGTGTCCGGAGAACAGCGCTACCTGGTCGCTGAAGGGCAGCGTGCAGTTCATGTCCAGACGGTCATCACCTTCCAGTTTCAGCAGGGAGTTTCCAAGCAATTTCTTTTCATATTGGAACCAAGAAAGAAAAGAAAAGAAAAGAAAAAAAAACAAGGCACAGTAAGTGTGAGCTGTTCATAACCAAACCATCCAGAAAGACAAAAGCAAGAATGGAGAGAAGTTTGGTGCCAGGAAGAAAGTAAGGTTACTCCTGAAAACACCAGAAACACACATTTGCTCTTGGCTTGCCCCGTATTTTGATCTGAGCTCAAAAGGCAGCAGGTGAATGTTTCTGGTACCTCCGGGGCAGTTGTTAATTAGCATCAGAGTTACGCCTCGGCTTGGACGCAGAAATAAATGAGTGAAGTAGACACTGAGAGATTTTCTGCGGTAGGAAATAAACTGACGCTAAAGAGATGTCACCCGCAGAGGGTTAATAAGCCACGTGGAAGGCTCCTTTCCCTCTAGGCTGCAGCCAAAGAACAAAGCCCAGGGTCAGCAGCGAAGCAGCAAAAGCTTCTGAATCTCTTTACCTGAACCCACGCAGGCAGAAGCTCGTAGGAGAGACGGTCGCCGCCCTATTGTGCACATATTAACGTGGATTTCAATAAAAGGCTCGCACAGGGAACCACAGAACAAGTTATCAAAACAGGTCCACCCAGTGAGCCAAGCTCCTCTCAGGAGGCTCATGGTTAAGAAGTTTGCCCCTGCAAACACCGAACGTGTTTACTAGGAGCCCAGTGTTTGGTCTTGGGTGGAGAAAACGCCAATGAGCAAGGAGCCCTGCTTATATTCTGGAACTTTCCCGGAGGAGTGATGCCAATCAAGGCACACCTACGGTTCTGCCGTCTTAAGGAGAAGTAGGATCCCGAGCCTGCCTACAGAGGAGCAGATCATGTGGAAGCTACGGAGAAGGTTATGGAAAGCCCTCCCCGAGTTGGCAGACTTTTGCGCCTCTTCGTGGCCAAGTGCTTGCAACTCAAGTCTTCAAATAAACTCATCAGAGTAAACGAGAGAGAGGATCTCCGTATGAGTATGTCTGCCTCCATGACCAAGACCCATTGCGCCCCAAGCGCTCACTAACGGCGCTGACTCCCCTGTTATAAAGGGCTGCAGAGGGAGGGCATGTGATGCCAGACAAGCCAGCGCAGAGCCCGTGTCTTGGTCACACAAGCGCCCCAGTCACGACAGTCTCGGACCAATACCCCTCAGGGAGGCAGCAACAGGGCTCCCAGCACTCAGGTCAGTTCCCACGTCAGCCCACGTCACAAAGACAAGCTCCAGCGCCCGTCTTCATACTCACAGCATCGGCTTCTGCTTTTTCCCTAGAAACTCTCCCACCTGCGACAACGGACTCTAAGGCAGTGACCCAGCGCTGTTTGTCAGGGAAGCTGGGAGCCAGCAAGTAGAGCGTTCTCCCGGGCCAGCAGGTGGTGTGCGGGTGAGACTCCATCTTCAGTACGTAGGGGACATCTAGGGGATCGGACAGAGAGCAGGGGTTGGGTGTGGCTTTCCCTCACGCCCAGGAGAGGGATGGCCCTGAGGTGTCAGAGATCCCCCCTCCCAAGCACGCAAGTTCCAGTCCCCCCTGAGACTGGAGAGCGGAGGAGAGTGGCCCCTTGCAGCCCTGCTGGCTGAGCAAGCCCAGCGCGCCCCTGGGTGGGTTCTCCTGCTTCCCTCACCTGCTTTGGCTGTGTTTGCAAGCTCAGAAGCACCAACGGCGCCGTGAATAGATACGTCCCCGTCGGGAAGGCACAGCTCAAATTCTTCCAGCGGCCTCTGTCCAGCTTGGTGCAAAGAGGAAGGGCAGAAAGAAAACCAAAAGAACAGGAACAAGAACAAGGGGAGAAAAGAAGGAGAAAGAAACAGAGAGAGAGAGAGAGAGAGACAGGGCAAGAGAGACAGTATGCGTGGAAAGAGAGGCACACGAGAACAAAGGAGGAAGGAGAAAGGTGTGCAGAGAAGGCGGAGAGGGAAGATAAAAACAAAATAAAGTGTGTCAGATGAGTAGCACAGTCAAATTTCTGATGACGATGCGGATTTATGGGCTAGTTGACTGAGGCAGAAGTTCTCTGAAGGTGTATTAGCAGGCAGAATCTTCAGGGCAGCACCCTGCGGGTTCTTCAGAGGGGAGACCTATAGACGTGAGTATCGTACCAATAACCTTTAGCGAAGTCATTTGGTTTTTAATTTTCAAAAATGGGAAATCGTAGAAGGCTTGCAACGCAGTCCGAAAAACAAAGCCTTCACGCCAAGACTGGGAGACCTGGGTCAACCACGTGCACCGAAATTTCCCCCTGAATTATTAATTTACCTTCTCTGGCTTCATTGTCATAAATGAGGACTTTGGATCCCTCCAGGACAATGTATTTCCGGTCCCAGCCTTGCTGTCCTCGTTTGTTATTCCTGGGAAAAGAGGGATGGACAAGAACAAGGGTGTGGAGCCCGAATCACAGGGAAGGGGGAGGAGTGGTGGGGAGGGGGAGAGGGAATCCTAGTCAAGAGGCTTCCCAGGGAAAGCTCAGGAATGGGAGCGGCCTGGGCTGTTCTGTCAGGGGCTGCGAAGCTTCCTGCTACCCCTTGTAGGTTCTGTGGCTGGCCCAGGAATGCCCCTGGTAGCAGAAGGACGAATGGGAGAGAAGCATACAATTTTAATTTATATGTTCCTGGGAGTCTCCCCCAGACAGTAAAGGCCCCAAAAGTGGAGAGGCCTACGTGTTTGTACACTGGCTCGAAGACTAGTAATTATGAAAAAGCAACTAAAATGTTGCAGGAGACAGAAGGAAGATAAAAGGTTACTTTAACAAGGGTTCCTTGCAGAGTTCTCTCTGTAGGCCCTGATTCCCTGTCTCTGATGATAATACGCCTTTCCTCCTGGAAAAGGGAGGGCTGCTTTTACACAGGAATCGCATCTCCGACTTTCAGGAAGAGAGAGGGGAGGTCAAAGTGTCATTCTGAGACCGGGGTTTGTCATGTGCCTTTGGCTCCAAATATTCCTTGTTCCCAAGCAGCCTATTTTGGGGTGGTGTCTTCACCAGCACCTGCCCCAGCCCGAGGCACGCGGCCACAATACCTGGGCACCTTCATCCACCCTTCCAGGTGCAAGCCACTGCTGGGCTCCTTGGTCTGGAGACCCGGGGAGTTCATTTTGTCGCGGCAGAAGGCCTCGGTGAAGTGTGTGGCATACTCGGCTGGCAGGCCACAGGTGGCTGGCAAGCACGTGGAGCACTTGGGATGACACATCACCTGACATTCTGGGGAAAAGCAGAAAACATCTTGGCGGACCCTGGCCCATGCTTTCCTCTGCCAGCCAAGCCCCCGCCAGGCCCCAACACCCAGGCAATCCCTAAGCTTGACCAGAAGCCAGGCCCCGACAGAGAAAGGAAACGAGGGAGCCAAGTGTTCTCGACACAGTGTTCCCGGCTTCTCCCCAGGCCGCCACCAACAGGTGTGTAAGGGACCCGTTTGCACAGTTCAGCTGGAGATAACACACAGCCTAAAAGTGGGGAGAGAGCAACCTGGGCAAAAACAGGGGGCTGGAAATCAGCAAAGCACAAGGTGTTTTGCTTTTGCACAGGGCGGTGGAGACATGAGCTGGAAACATGGATAAGCTCATTCCTTTAATAGGGGAAAAATAGTGTCCTCCCACTGAAACTGAAAGCTTGAAAATGAATGTACTACAGGATGAAAAATTTAAAAAGAAAAAACACAGGGGCGCCTGGGTGGCACAGTGGGTTGAGTGTCCAACTCTTGGTTTGGGCTCAGGTCGTGATCTCAGGATCGTGAGATCGAGCCCTGCGTCAGGCTCCAAGCTCAGCGCAGAATCCGCTTGAGATTGTCCCCCCCCCCTCTGCTCCCCCACTCTCTCTAACGTAAATAAATAAATCTTTAAAGAAGAAAGAAAAAAGAAAAGAAACCCACCCACCCCCATCAGATAGATCTGTTTGCGTGGAGACAGGCAGGTGCCCACTGCGAACGCACAGCTGCTGCTCTTACCAAGACATTTGGATGCCTGACGCCCAAAGTGCACAGTATCCAGACACACAGCACACTTTGTGGCTCGCATGTTTAATCCTACGTTAAATCGGTGAGGAATATTGTGGTGCATGCGCTCCTTAAGACGCCGACTGAATTCTGAAGGAAAATTAAAAAAAAAAAATCATTACGTGTTACAAATGATCCCATCAAGAAAATAAAAAAAAACAACCCAAAGAATGGGAAAGAATATTTGTAAATCATATCTCTGACAAGGGACTTGTTGCTAGAATATATAAAAAGCTCTTACAACTCAATAATAAAAAGACAACCCAACTTTAAAACGGGCAAAGGATTTGACTAGACATCTCTCCAAAGAAGATAAATAAATGACCAAGAAGCACATGAAAAGATGGTCTAAATCACTAGTCATTAGAAAAACACAAATCAAAAGCACAATGAGGTTCCACTCACACCCACTCAGACGTCTAGAATCAAATATGCAGGAAACAAGTGCTGGTGAGGATGTGGAGAAATTAGAACCCTCATACACTGCTGGTGGGAATGTCAAATGGTGTAGCCACTCCGGAAGACAGTTTGGCAGTCCCTCGAAAAGTTAAATTTAGGATCACCCAGCAATGGTATGACCCAGCGATTCCATTCCTAGGTATGTCCCCAAGAGAACTGGAAACATACGTGGCCACAACATACAACGTTCACAGCAGCATTATTTATAATGGCCTAAAAGTGGAAACGACCCAAATTATTATCAGTGGATTAAGAAACAAGATGTGCTATCCATACAATAGAATATTATTCAACCAGAAAAAGTAAACTAATAAATGCTCTAACATGGGTGAATCTCAGAAGCATTATGCTCAATGAAAGAAGCCAGACACAAAAAAATATGGTATGATCTCACTTACTGAAATGTCCAGAGTAGCACATCTATTCGGCTTAGTGGCGGCCGGAGGTCGGGCAGAGGGGAGAATGGGGAGTTCTGCTATAGGGCAGAGTGCTTTTGGGGGAGGGAAAGGTTGAGGCCAAAAATGTCCCCAAATTACAATGCGATGGTTGTACAACGCTGTGCACTTGATAAAAAAACATCATACACTTCAACTGTGTGAACTGTATGGTGTGTGAATTTATCTCAATAAAGCTGTAAAAAAACCATTACAGCAGATTAGTTACAGAGTGTGAAACTATTTTAACACTAACAGATGCATCTAGATTTATAGGAATCAACTTCAAATCTCCATTAGCCAGTTATTAGGAGTATTTTTAAAGAACGTATTACTGGCAGAAGCCAGGCTATATGATAGCAAAGATGTTTGGGGGCCTAAGGAAACATAATGCTTTTAAGTCAAATGTATGTAAATATTTTAATCATGAAAGTTTTGTCTTCCAGATGAAATCCCGTATCTAGAAGTTTTCAGAATGCAGTTTAAAAATCAGTTCTGAATTACAGAATTTCTAATTATTAGATACATAAACTGCCTGAAGAATTCCCTCTTCATGTCCTGTTCTTTCATGAGAAACCTCCTTTGGTTAAAAAACTCAACTTTTAAGCCTTAAAAATTGAATTATTACATTTATATGCCAGTCTGTTAAAATAACGAGGTTGCTACAGGCCCTCTCTCCATAGTGACCTAATTAAAGACAGCCTTAAACAGCAAAGCTCGGGATCCAAATTTCTGAATCCAAATTGGGTTCTCCACAGAACATGGCCTCCCATCCTTTATCAGAAAGCTGCAAGGAATGAATGACATGAACGCACTCTGACCCGGAGAATATACACGGGAAGGAGGGGCCTGGGGTCTGAGGAACCTCTCAGGCCGCTGCTCTACGGAGCCTGGTCAACAGACACTATGGCCAGAAAGGATTCTCTTGCCCTGTGTTACCATCACTATACAATGATGACTTTAAGAGTAAAGCTCTTTGATTCAAAGTGTTATGAAAACACAGGAAACAAGAGGGCATCATCACCGAAGAAAAACCATTTACTGAAGAAGAACCACCGACACACCACAACACCATCAAGATTTGCCACTAACATCCGTTACATTGTGATGCCATGACGCTACCCCACAGCTCTGCTCGACGATCCCCTAAGACCTTCCAAACCACCTTCCTTGGCCTTTTTTTTTTTTTTAAAAGAAAGGCAGACTGCCACATGCAGCACCGCATTTGGGTGCGTCTGGAGTCTTGGAAGCTTGACCACCTGACATTCTCCTACAAATGGACCTTGAGAGCTTGTTTGAAGGTTCTAGCAGGGGAGCTCAGCTACTCGTATACCCTTGACCGAAGAACAGTCCTCCGGTATCAGGGAAGGCCACCGCCTTTGACCAAGCATGCAGCTTCAGGGGGGACGACACACACATGGAGCGGTGAGGGACGAGGGGGACACCTGCCTAGCCAGCCACATCAGCCGAATCAACGCTGGCCATCAACGGGGTGTCACATGTCACAGCCAGATCGCCCTCACAACCTGGCCTTTTTTCTTTAAAGTCCTTTTCCTCTCTAGATGAACAGAGTACTTTTAAGACCGCAAAGAAAACTTCTTACACTGTTGGTAAGAATATAAACTGGATCAAACTACCAACACTCAAAATGCAAATAATCTTGAATGCGGTGAGTCATTTCCCAAAAACTAATCCTCTGGCTGCAGCACCCGAAGAGGTGCAGGGTTTCACTGCAGGGTGCTCCCGGTAGGGAGAGACTGCCCATCAGCAGGGGTCTGGTTTAACAGGTGAACCATGTACCCACACCAGTGAATACCATGCAGCCCTCTCAGAGGACGAGATCGATGCATAGGAATTAATAAACACTCTGAGATAATATTTTAAGTAAAAAAAAAAAGGTGTTTCGCGGGGTACGGTGTAGTGCGCTGTGATCTTTATGATAGAAAAAAGGGCTGAGGAAAATACGCCTAAATTTTCTCATACCCTTGAAATTATATAAGATACAGCAGTACCACGACCTGTGCCTACATGCATGAACTACTGCTGGAAGAATACTCAGGGAACTGGCACTGGGACAGGGGACAAGACCAACCTCTTACTCTTAGGTATTATTACCCTTAGTATTATTACTTGTCACTTTTACCGTATGTCTGCATTTTCTTAGTCGATTAAAAACGATTTTCAACAGAACTCCAGTGGCTCCGTGGGCACGTACCCTCCGGAGTGGACGACTCCTTCCTGCGGCTGGATGGCGGGGCGAGCAGGCTCATGGCACTGGGCTGGTGCTCGGGTGACCGCACGAGAGCGGACATGGCGATCTGCTGCCTCGCGGTGGCTGGCGTAGACGGGTGCGGGTGGTCTGTGGCCTTCCGGTGGGCAGCTGGAGAGAGACCAGTCCGATGCCTTTTGGTTAGCTGGGTCACCGAGAGGCCAAAACCAAGCGGGCTGCCCCTGGGCTGTCTTTCGAGGACCCAAGACCAAGAGAACATGCATCGTGCCGACCGGGCAATGCCAAGGATGCTGTGAATTTTTCAGACTTGGGGGCCATCTGCCCCGAGAGCTTCCAGCCCACAGAGACAGACGCTGGACTAGTACGAGCAATCTGCTTGAGATGGGTCCTCTGCCTTTATTCCACAGACGTGGCATAGGGAGTGCCCCTACCTTCCTCCCGGGCAGACCGGAGCTCGATGCGGGTCTTCTGAAGGGCTTCCTCTAGCTCTGCACAGCGAGCTTTCTCCTTCTCCAGGGCCACCTTCAGCTCATTGTACTGCAGAGGAACCTGTGTGGGCAAAGCAGGGTCCTCTTTCCGTCGACTAAATAAACCCTAGCAATGGAAACAGAGATATCTCCTAACTCCTGGAAACTGGCACTGGAAACTAGCTAAAGGAACACTGACTCAAGAGGAGCAAACTACGAAAGCCAGGAGCATACTCACTGTAAGCGGATTTAGTAAAAATGGCATGTGAAGGGGGGGAAGGGGAGACTGAGCCACAGCCCATTCCAGCCGGCTGGAAAAAAATAGGGTTTCGGAAATTTTCGACAAGAGGGTTCAAGATGCTTGAACTGCCACCACCTCTTCCTTTAGCATTCCCAAGAAGGAGAGCCATTTCCTGAGTCTTTACCCTCAAAAAATGGAAGTGGAGGATGGAGTCAGGAGGGATGGTTCGGAAATCACTCTTGCTTTGCGTTTGTCTCATGACGCTTAGTTACAAGACACAGAGATGAGTGTTAAAAAAAAAAAAAAAGGGAGACCAAAAACCTGAATACTAAAATGATATCAAAACAAGGGGTTGGAAACACATACTGGACACGGAGGGGGAAAAACGGAAAACACAGGGAATAATGGGACTGGAAAAAAAAAATTAACAACCAAAAATTAATGGAAACACCCTAGCTACAGCACATGACACAATTAGATAACAATCCGCTGCTAAAATAAAAAAAGATTGAATATCATAAAAGAAGATTAAATATCATAGCATAACAAGCACCAACAGTCACACGGTAGGCCAGAATATTCCCTCCCCTGCAGCCCCCACTGGAGGGGGCTGCCTCTGAAGGCTACTCTTGCCCCTTACAGTGCAAGCAGGGCTGGGACCACTGGCACCAACTGCCCACTCCAGCCCCCTCTCACGTATTCCAAGTCCCAGGGGGGTTGCCACTGCTCTCGCGGGGTAGGGATGCCTTTGGAAGCAGACTGCAAGGTCCTCAGAGACCTTTTCCAACTGAGAACACCTGACCAAACCTCCCTGGGCGGGGGGGGGGGGGGGGTTGGGTTTCGGTGGTTTAGGGAAGCGTGTTTTAGGTGTAGTAAAAATCTTCCCAGGTGCATCTACATAGAACCCTGTCCATAGTTGTTTTTTTTTTTCTTTCTGGTCATAGTTTTTCATTTGTTTGTCTATCATAATTTTAAAGGGATGAAGCAGCACTCAGTGGAGGGCCTAGTTATCCAGGCAGGCCCTGTAGGCAAGTCACCTCAATTCCCTGGTTCCTGGTCTCCTCACAGGCCTTTGCCAATCAAAAGGACTGGGCTGCGTAATTTCAAGTCTTTTCTAGAGTCCCGTACATGTGCCCTGAGAAACCCTCGATAGAACTGAGAACCCCTTTCTCTCTCTCTTGAATCCCGAATGCATGACCTATAGTCTCTCTATAGTCCTGTTCCTGTGACCTGCTAATCCCTCTGGAGTCTTGTACAATGACATCCACATAAACCTTTCTCTCTGCTGTCACCCCCACCCCAGCTGCTTAGGAAATGGGAAAAAAAAAAAAATCATTCCCTTATCAGAGATAGGCACCAAAGGCCATGAACACAAAGTAGTGTGTTACAGACTTGATTAACGACATCCCTTCTGTAAGAACTGTTCTGACTACCTCAAAACCTCTTTTCAACCCAATATAAAACAAGAGAATGTGCGTTTTGTTTTCTTTGATGTTTCTATAATTATCCATCACAGCGGTATTTAATGAATCATAATGACCGAGCAAAAACTCCCCACTTTTCAAACACGAGGACCCACCTTTTTCTTCTTAGCGGGCTGGTCCATTTTGGCTTGCAGAAAGTCAATGAGTTTGGTTTGTTGAGAAATAGTACCTTCCATTTTCACCTTTTCGTGAGAATAGAGAACCTAAAAATTCATAAAAACAAAAATAAGCTCAGCCCTCAAAAGAAGGATGCTTTTAAATGTGGTACTTTAAGAACATAAAAAAATTAGGTCGTGAGGATACTAGCATATGAAAATTCAACACAGACCACACTGGGCCAATATTTACTTACTTAGTCCTTTTCTTATGGCCAAAAACAAAACTAAAAAAAGGACTGATAGATGGATAAGTATATGGAAAAGTGTAAAAAAAAAAAAGGCAGGGGTTAATATTAGAATCTCAGAGCTGATCATTATAGGTATTTTCCAACTTCTCTGAAGGTTTGGAAATTTTCATAATGAAATCTTGGGGAAAACACACAAAAATACACAGTATAAAGAAAATGAACTTTTCACCAGATGGCTTTTGGCCATGATGCTTTGCCTCTGCAGACAATTTTTAAGTAAATTTCCTTTGCTGGTTCTCACCTGAATGTTTTCTAGCTGGTATTCCAGATCGCTCCTTTCGGTCTTCAGCAGATCAGCCCGGTCCAGAGCTTCTTGCAGCCCTTGAGTCAAACGGAAGATGTGATTCTTCTGCAGGTCCATCTGCTGCTGTAATTTGGCTTGCTAGTGGGGAGAAAGGCCAAACAGAGTCTCGATACCACAGACAATACAACTCGTTCCCCCACTGTTCTTGTTACCAAACTAATTGCAGACACGGCGCCAAATTTCGGCTTCTGAAATCATCTCCGTCTTCTGTCCCAGATGGATGCATGGGCACAGTTAAAAAGAATTTGCCCAGAAATCTCTGACGGCCAGCAAGTCACAGGACCCCCACTGTAAGAGGAAGGCCAGGCTGGTGTGTCTGTCTTTCCAGTCAGTTACAATTAAGGACATTGCCCCCCTGTGAATTGACATCAAAGATGCTGCGAATTACTGCAACGACAGCTAAGCTCCAATTGGTCCTTCGCTTTGCTTTTTAAGGTCTCATTTGCTACCACGAGAAACCACTTTATTCAGGCACTGTGGATGCACAAAGGGGAATCATGTCACCTCTAACTTAAGGAGCGCCTTGTCAGGGTGAGGGACCCCCAACCAGGACACAAATAGCCACAATCATAGGAGATACTTTTGCAGTGTGGGGAGGAAGGAAGAGAAGAGCCCAGACTCAGCACAAGAGTCAGTAAAACCCGGGGTGGGGAGGGGGGCGGAATCACTTTAGTGTTTTGGAAATAGTTTTGTGCTGGAAATCTCCCTCCAATTTTTACAATGGAAGTCAACCAGAAAATAAAGCGGGCTATAAAGATGCTGGTTTTATGGCTCTCCTTCCTAAAATGCTTGTTTCTAAAAAAGCAGGAGAGAGCAGCTACCCTGAGGAGACACCGCCTGATGGCATCCAACCCCGGCGTGACAATCTAACCACCCTGGAGGTGGCCCTAATATCCCCTCCCGTGGTGGCCTAGACTCTCTGCAGACTCAAGGACAGAGCTCCTGAAGAGCCTTAAATACCACCACGGGCATTTCCCAGCAGGCAATGGCAAAACTCCACGCTCTCCGCCCCAGAAGGCCAAGAGCTACCAACAACCTCAGAACTTGCCTCTTCATCCCATTTCGCTTCCCTCCACCTTTGTTTTGTTTTTCTTTCCATCTCTACTCCTCAACAGCCCTTCCTCTGGAGGGGAAGCGGATTCCTTGAGGCATCACGGTGTGGTGGAACGAACGTGGGCTTTGGAATGCTACGGACCCTAGTGTAAATGAGGACTCTAACACGTATCAGTCATAGGACCTGAGGGGAAGCTCATATTGCCTCTAGAAGCCTCAGTGTCTTCACCTGAAAGTGGGTACAATGCCTCCCCTGATTAGGTGATATACTGAGCGCCATGCCCAGAGTACCATAGATGCTCAAGGAGTTTTAGCAGTCTCTCTGTCTCCCCTTCCCTCCATCCAGTTCAGGCTCCCCTCTCCCTACGCCTTCTGTCCCTAGCCCAGCTGTCTTCCCCATGCCGACCTCCTCTCCCAGCCTCCCCGCATTAGTCCTCTGTAAAGCAAGAGATACTGTCAGCAACCAGAGATCACCTGCCCTGTATGCCAACCTGGAATTTCTGAATCAAACCACAGAAACCCCTAAAATATGGGGAGGGGGGAGCAGAGAAAACAGCTAAGATTACCTCTTAAAGGGAGCTATCAGTCCCCTACGGCGCAAGTGATTTTCGCAAATTACCCTCTTTAGTTTCTTCCCACTATTTTAGGACAACATTAATTACTAGGCAGGAAGCAGAGAATAAGGAGCTGGGGACAAGAATCGGGTTGGTGACAGCCGGGCCCAAAATATTTCTCTAGAACAAACACATCAATTGTCCATTAGCCTTCCAAGAAATAGGCTGCTTATTCACTATAATAAAAAAACAAGTGAGAATGGCAGGTTGCTGCTCGGTGGAATGCTTTTCAAAACCATTTACCTGCTTCCCAGAGAGAGGCAAATGGGGGCTATTCACGGGTCAGTGTCAGACTGAAAGGAGAGCATTAGCTCTGTGCTTTCATCTGTCCAAGAGTTTCACAAGGGTGACAGGAGACTGGCAGGATGCACCAAGGAACTGGATCACAGAACCGGAACACCTGACAACCCTGGTGGCTCAAAGGATGGATCAAAACCAACCAGAGAAAGTTCAAAAGGATGGGATTTTTTTTTTTCTTAAAGATTTTATTTATTTATTTATTTGACAGAGAGAGAGATAGCGAGAGCAGGAACACAAGCAGGGCGAGTGGGAGAGGGAGAAGCAGGCTTCCCGCCGAGCAGGGAGCCCGATGTGGGACTCGATCCCAGGACCCCGGGATCATGACCTGAGCCGAAGGCAGATGCTTAACAACTGAGCCACCCAGGCGCCCCTAAAAGGATGGGATTTTTAAAGACACTGACTGATAAGGGCGCCTGGATGGCTCAGTCGGTGAAGTGTCTGCCTTCGGCTCTCAGGTCATGATCTCGGGGTCCTGGGATGGAGCCCCCTGTGTGGCAGGGGGAGGGGAGGGTCCCTGCTCAGTGGGGGGTCTGCTTCTCCCTCTCCTTCTGCCTCTGTCCCTCCCCTGCCCCACCCTATTTGTGCTCTCTCTCAAATAAATAAATAAATAAAATCTTAAAAAAAACCCAAAAACACCTTATGGAAGGGTTGGTGGCGATATGACAGGTCAGTGGGTAATTGGCAGAGGCTTACAGAGCCTGGAATGGAGCTGGAGATGTCCCACTGTACTCCATGTTGTTCAGACCATGCAGACTTCTAGAAACTCTCTTTGGAAAGATAAATCTACCAGAAAAGAACATTTCAAACTTGGAGGGACTTGAAATGTTTCTCTTAGGAAAGGGAAGGCGGTCTGCAGTGGGAGAGCGACGTTGGTATCAAACTGACTGTCGCAGAGATAATAGAAGTAGTTTTTCTCATAGAACTGTCACAAAGGCCGTAGGAGCCAAGTCATGGAAAGTACTCAGAAAGGCACCTGGCACACAGCAATTGCTAATGAAACATTCATTTTTAAATTATTACTCAAGTAATTTGATCATTAGTCAGCATTACTCTCCTATTTTGGTTGGAAATATCAGACTGCTCTATTTTCAAATGTTTCAATGAAATAGAACCATTGGTTGGAAGTTATAGGCTTTAATGGAAATTAGACAGGACTTTCTGAGAATTAAAGTTGCTGGAAAAACTGGGTTGGGAGGTCCACAGGCACTGTGCACTCAGGCCGAGGTTCAACCAGGCCCACTGGTGGGGAATGTTGGGGAAGGGATTGTCTGCCTTAGACATGAGGTTAATTTGACCAGAATTTGCAAATGGACTTTCACCTTTGGCATTACTTCCAATGGACTGATTGATAGTGGCTATCAAGGGCCATGTCAAAAAAGCTTCCAGGGGTGGCTGGGTGGCTCAGTTGTTAAGCATCTGCCTTCGGCTCAGGTCATGGTCCCAGGGTCCTGGGATCAAGTCCTACATCGGGCTCCCGGCTTGGAGGGAAGCCTGCTTCTCCTTCTCCCACTCCCCCTGCTTGTGTTCCTGCTCTAGCTATCTTTCTCTCTGTCAAATAAATAAAATCTTAAAAAAAAAAAAGTTTCCAAAGCCATTTCGGGCCCAAGAGGAAAGATTTGGGAGAGATATCCATTAGCAAAGTCTGCCAAGGGCAGGGATGAAGGGGACAATGGAACAAGGGCTGGGAATCTGGGCTCCATGACATAAAAAACTCTTCCCAACTCTGAGACTGTGATTCTGGCCCCATTTACAAGTCTCTGTACCTAATAAAGAGGACACTTGGGTTAATTTAAGAAAGAAGACAAATGAGCAAATACAAAAAAAGAAAGAGAGAGAGACAAATGAAGAAACAGACTCTTTAACTATGGAGAACAAACTGATGGTTACCAGAGGGGAGGTGAGTGGGAGGATGGGAGAAATAGGGGATGGGCATTAAAGAGTACACTTATCATGATAAACACACACACACACAATAATATCTCTTGATTTCAAGATGTGTTATAATCAGATGGTCTGTTAATGGAATAAGATAAACATGTAGATGGTTTTGTGACAAAGATGTCAAGAAAATTTAATGAGGAAAAAAGTCTTTTAACAAATGGTACTGGAGTAACAGGACAGTTCTATGGAAAACAGTGAACCTCTCCTCTCATACATAAAAATCAACTCAAAATACATCCTAGCCCTACATATAAAAGCTAGAACTATAAAACTTCTTGTAGTACAGAGAGAAGAAAATATCTGCAACTTTAGGATAAGCATAGATTTCTTAAATAGGACACAGAAAACACAAACCATTTTTAAAAACTGATAAATTTGACTTCATAAAAATTAAGAACGTTTGCTCTTTGAAAGACACTGTTTTAAAAGACAAGGCAAGCTACAAACTGGCTGAAAGATCCAGCATCCATACATCTGACAAAGAGTAGTATCAAGAAATCTTCAACAACTTTACTCAGAAGTAACTACCCAAAAGATTTGAACTTACACTTTCCAAAAGAAGATATATGAATGACAAATACATGAAAAGATGTTCATCTTTCATTATTAAAGAAATGCAAATTAAAACCACAATGTGATATTGTAATATACACACGAGAAAGGCTAAACAATACTAAGCATTATGGGATTGGAACTGCAAAATGGAACAACCACTTTGTTATCAACATACACATGTGACCCAGCAATGCTCCTCCTAGAGGAATGAAAACATATCCACACAAAGATGTGCACACAAGTTTTCATAGCAGATTTATTTATAATAACTAAAAACCAGAAACTATTCAAAGGTTCATCAGCAGGTGAGTGGATAAGTTATGGTATACCCATACAATAAATTACTGCTTAGCAATAAAAAGCAATGAACTGCTAGTACATTCATCAACAAGGATAAATCACAAAAACATGCTCAACTAAACCAAAGAATCCAGGGGCACCCGGGTGGCTCAGTCGGTTAAGCATCTGACTCTTGGTTTCGGCTCATGTCATAATCTCAGGGTCATGAGATGGAGCCCCGCATCGGGCTCCATGCTCACTGGGAAGTCTGCTTGAGATTCACTCTCTCTCCCTCTCCCCCCTGCCCCTCCCCCCACTCACACACTCCCTAAAATAAAATTATCTTTTAAAAAAATAAAAAAAATAAAGAATCCAGATACAAGGAGTATATATACTATGACCCCACTTCTAGGAAATTCTAGAAAAGAAAAGCTATCGGGGGGCGCCTGGGTGGCTCAGTCAGTTAAGCGTCTGCCTTCGGCTCAGGTCATGATCCCAGGGTCCTGGGATCGAGCCCCACGTCGGGCTCCCTGCTCAGCGGGAAGCCTGCTTCTCCCTCTCCCTCTGCCTGCTGCTCTGCCTACTTGTGCTCTCTCTGTCAAATAAATAAAAAAATAAAAATAAAAATCTTAAAAAAAAAAGAAAAGAAAAGCTATCGGTAGTGACAAAGAGCAGATCAGTGGATACCTGGGGCCAGGGTCAGAAGGTATCAACTAGAAGGGGCATAGGGAACTTTTTTGGATGATGAAAATGTTTTATGTTTTCATTGTGATGATGATTAGTCAGGTGTTTACATTTAAAAAATGATTCAGAAAAAAAAAAGACGACATTCAGGTTAAGCCCTTGGTCACATGCTTATAAAATGCACACCACGACCAAGGATCCTCGCTACATCCTGGACAATAAATATCATTCTTTGTTTCATAATGGTTTCAACTGTCAGTGAAATCTGCCTCAAACTCCATGTCAGCCAGATGTCTGTGCTCAAAAATCTATCTGTGAGGTACAGACTGGGAAGCTGGGAATGTTCTCGTGTCGTTTAGAAGTGAGAAAGAGGGGACTGAATCAGGATCCCAGTATGCTATTCCAAGCCTTGTCACTGACTCACCATGTAACCTTGGACCAAAGTATTGAGCTGTCAGAGCCAACTCTCTTTCTTCGGAAGGAAAATAGGACAGGCAAGATCATTGATTATTTCTGTTCTGTTTCCAACATGTGCCTAAAGCGGGGACATTGCCTATTCATTCCAGATAAAAGACCATCATTCTCTACTTGACCACCAGGTAGATTTTTAAATTTTTATGACAGTGTTTTTTGTTTTTTTTTTAAAGATCTTATTTATTTATTTGACAGAGAGAGACACACAGCGAGAGAAGGAACACAAGCAGGGAGAGCGGGAGAGGGAGAAGCAGGCTTCCCACCGAGCAGGGAGCCCGATGCGGGGCTCGATCCCAGGACCCCGGGATCATGCCCTGAGCCGCAGGCAGACGCTTAACGACTGAGCCACCCAGGCGCCCCTATGACAGCGTTCTTAATGCTGCCTTTGGTGAACTTCCCACCCATGTGTGTGTGTAATTAATTTTATTGTAAAAATCTTTACTGTGATACAATATACATAAAATTTACAATTTTCACCATTCTTAAGTGGACAGTTCACTGGCTCTAAGGACATGCACAGTGTTATGCAACCATCACCACCATCCACCTCCAGAACTCTCCCAAATTCCCACCCATTTTTTTTCAGGTCTCATTCTGTAAAATATTTCATACTCACCTGCAAAATTTGCACCACACTTTTCAAAGTTAATAGTTTAGCAGTATTATTGCTATCAGCACAGTCCCTTGGGAGGTATCATATAATAAAACCTCAACGAACCAGAATAGGTATTCTGGTTAATTGAACTATCAGGTTCACTATGGGTTAAACAGAACACTCTTAGAGTCCTGTTTCTCATTAAATATCTTTATAAAGTATATTTGTCCTGGTTGGTCAATTCTAATGAACAAAGCAGAATCATAAGTGATTCAACATATAAGGGAGGGCTTTGGTTGGGGGTGGGAAGTAGTCATCAACTTAAAGAGAGATTTTCAGAATTCTGTTAAAAGGTCCAGGAAATAATATAAGGGATGGGTTCGGGAGACCAATTTGAGCTTTCCATTCCGTGTCTCAAAGGCAGGGCATAATTTTTTTTAATTGAATTAAATGAATGAGCAAAAGTCTTCATGAAATTTAGTACTCAGCATAAATCTGATCAAGTCCCTGCCCTGTGCATGAAGCTAATTTGCATAGATGTTTATCAGCCTGAAAACTTAATATACTTTAGATATTAACTTTAAAACAACAATTTAGTTCAACATTCAGTCACCCGTATATTTAATAAACTTCCATTTGGCACATACTCATCTGTGCTCAACATTCTTTTAAGCATCACGTGGGGGGATACAAGTGATAAAGACCCTCTGGCCTTCATGACACATTCTTTGAACGTGTTAAATACCTTCAAAAAAGTATTAAGTGACCACCTTACTCTTCCTCGAAAATTCAAACTTCCAAATTTGAACGTCTGATCTGGATCTGACCACCTAAACACAACATATTTTCACCTTCAGAATTCCACCTGGCTCTACTTCTCAGGTGTTTTGTACTCACCTCTTCCAGAAGCCTCTGTTTGAGCTCCCGTTCAGTCTCCAGTTTCTGCTGTAAACTGCGGGCGTTCATTTCAAGCATGGCATGTTTCTTCTCCAGGTCATTGAGCTGGGCATTGGGAAAAATTGGCCATAATATCATATTTAGGAATGCTAGATGCTAATGACTTTTGCAAATACCCACAAACCTTCACATGTGAAGAATCAAGTTCTGAAGATCAGAATATAAATATATAAATATTGTTTTCTAGGGACACCTGGGGGTGGCTCAGTCGGTTGAGTGTCTGCCTTCGGCTCAGGTCATGATCTCAGGGTCCTGGGATCGAGCCCCACGTTCAGCACAGAGTCTGCTTCTCCCTCTCCCTCTGCCCCTCCCCCCACTCATGCTCATTCTCACATGCGTGTGCTCTTTCTAATAAAATCTTTCAATAAATAAATATTGTTTTCTCAAAGTATATCACAAAGGTCCATGTCACAGATAAGCCTTATATGGGGATAGTATTATTTCTAATGGGTCACATAAATAGCTATGACAAGTTCTAAGACAAGGATGATCACTTTGGCTGAGCTTAATTAAATAATCAAATGTTGAATGCTTACTATTTGCACAGCATTATATCGGGGCTCTTGGGATGAAAGAATGGATGAACTCTCTTAAGAATCTTACATAAAGTCACAAAGGCAGAGAGTAGCCCATAACTAGACATATACACAAACAAGGATTGCTTTGTCACATAAAATTTTTGATAAGAGGGGTATGGAGAAGAGAAATCCTTCCTGAATTACCAGTTTTAAGAAAAGATGATATCAATGTCTGGAGTCTGGTTTTGTTTTGTTTTTTTTTTAAAGTAAACTCCATACTCAGCAACATGGGGCTTGAACTCACAACTCTGAGATCAAGACCTGAGCTGAGATCAAGAGTCGGACACTTAACCAACTGAGCCACCCACATGCCCCAATGTCTGGAGTCTTAAAGGATGAGCAGAACTTTGCTATAGAATACTCTAAGAACAATCAAACAGAAAAAGATACTCAAGTTAAATCAAAAGGGTTCATTTACCTCTAAATAATATCCTTAGTTTCCTCATGGGTAAAAAATAAAAAAAATAGTAAGCCAGTATCAAGGAACTCCAGAGTGTCCCTGAGTGGCAAGCTCTAGCCTTGAATCCAATAATTTTATTTCTGTGAAATTTTATTTCTGTAAGAAAATCATGGATATTCATAAAGATTTATGTTCATCATAGTGTTCTTTATAACACTATGGCAAAAAAATTGAAAGAAGTTCAAAGTTCCAACACAAGTAGAATGATTAAATGATTAAATAGGTACCTCTGTGTTGTTGAGGGTTTTTTTAGAACTACATGTTCAAAAAACATTCAGTAACTGAGGAAAAGCCCCTACTTTTATGTTGTTTTTTTTAAAGATGTAAACTTGTTTACATAGTAAGAATCTAAATTTATTCTAATAGATCAGTGGTGGATTGTTAGTCATCTTTTCCTTTACTTTTCTATGGTTTCTAGATCTGCCACAATGACCCCAAATAGGTACTTTTATAATCACGAAATAACAAATAGTTATACCAAATACGAAATTCAGATTCTTGCTTTATTTTATGTGTGTGTTTGTGTGCGTGAAAAAGTGCGTGTGTGTGAACCTGGGTATATACATGAAATTTCTTTGATCTTCATTCTTGTTATCTGGAACACTGGGGCATCTATTTGAAGTCTCTTTCAAGACTTAGATAAACCTCCAGAACACGGGGACATAATGTGGCGTGCTACATGGACAGGACATGCATATTTCCAATATAAAATACCAAGGACTCACGTGGCCATCAGACCCTCTCGTGCCCCTGGCCTTGGAACAGAGAGAGGCTGAGCTGCCTACCCATCACAGCAATGGAAGGAGCATTAGTCCTTGCCACTGAGCACTTCCCAAGAATGCTCGACATTAAATCCAGCAACCAACCCAGAGATTAAATCTAGAAATCAGGTGCCAGAAAACGAGAGAGCTGTGTGGCCAGATCAGAATCCAGACCTCAGGCGCCCAGACAGGCAGATGTTAAGAAGTCACCGACAGATTGGGACACACCAGTCCCCACCATGCCTCCCACACTCTCGCCAACCCAGGGTGTCCTGTGTGGAGCCTAACCCTGCGACTTGATGGAACAGAGTAAACGTGTGTTCGTGAAATATGCTGACCGTGGATTGCACCTGAATGTGGGTCGAGCATGCCTTCTAAAAGGGGGAGATGAGATGTCCTGCTAAAAGGCAGAAGGGATGGGCGCTGACCTTGTCAGAGAGGCTCTCAGCTTTCAGCTTCTGCTCTTTGAGGGCCTGCTGCAGAGCAAGGATCTCAGCCTTGTGCTCCTTCACCGCCAGCTCCACCACCTGGCGTGACTCGGTGATCCGCTGGTCGGCCCGCGCCCTGCCGGGAAAGCACAGGCCCATTTCAGAAGCGCCACCATCACCAATCCCGAAAAAGGAAGTGGGCCCATCTCTAATCCCAACAAGCAACCAGACAGGCTGCAGCTGGACAGAGGCCCAACCCTGATTCCCAGTTCCAAATGATGTCTTGCTTTCTGACTGCTTACAGAGCGAAGAGTTGACCCACTTTAGACCTTGGGTAAAAATACTCTTAATAGGTAAAGTTCCTGTGAGTACTCACTTGGAAAGGCCGAAGGGGAAAGGCAATTTTCCAAAAGCAACTGGACTGAATAGGATACAGCAAGACTGTCACAGCCTCCCCTGGGAGTGGAAATGGAATGCGGTCCCCCTGAGGGACCACAGGAAACCCTAATCGAGCAAACATTTCCTCTCCTCAAGTCTATGCAATTAAATTACGTGTTTGGGGTGCTTGTTAGGAAACAAACTTGAATCCGATGAATGTATCTATAAATAAGGTTAGAGAATAGAAAAAACTAGAAGCAAGCTAGAAAAATTGCTGCCCTTCCCCATTTAGGTCTTGTGTTTTGCTACTTCCACACCTGAGCTTATACAGTCTCCTCTTCTGGCCAGCGCTCTCCTCCCCCACCTCCCCTACCCTGCAAACCCAAATCTTACTTGGCCTTCAGGGATGAACTCAAAAGGCCATGTCCTCCGTAAAACCTTGCTCAATTTCTCCTCTTGCAAAGCAGCTCTCCTTGCTCTGTATCCAAAGTGTAAACATACTCCTCTCTTGGCACACCCCACTCTCTCTCTGAGGTGGTAAATACCCGAAAGCATAATTCATCTTCTCTATGAGACTTGCCTCTTGAGCACAGGAATTAAGAATTATATTTTACTCATCTCGGGATCCCACGTAACACCAAAATAGAGGGGGGGTGGGGGGAAGAAAGGAAAAGCCAAGATCTTTCACAACTGTCCCTGAAAGTATACATGAAATGTCTTCCTAAGCACAGCCCGTAATTATACCTTCCATGTGGAGTTGTGTGTTTCTTGATGCTGAAGCCAGCTTCCGACCCTCAAATTGGTCTCTGAGGGATTCTAGAAACACCTCAGATAGGAGCTGCACTTGAGGGCAGAAGGAAGGGGGTCTGTGTGAAAGCAATCAGAATATACGGTGAGGACTCAGGGGAAAGAGGAACAGGAGGTCTTAATCAGCAGCCCGTCAGGTCAGCAAATACCCTGAGTGGGAGGATATCCAAAAAAAATGAATATTTCTACCAGTGTCTCTTCAAATTTAAGGAGTCTTATCTTTTGCCTCCAATCTTTTCTAGTTTAACTGACTCAGCTCCCATTAAACATCCACCACATTTGGCTGAGTCTACTGTGGTCAAGTAAATGCAGGAAATACCAAAATGAGTCTGATGGTGCCCAACTAAATGCTCTGTGAGAGGCATTTCTAGGCATAGTTTATCTCACTTAAGGAGTTCAGGGATTCCCAGGAAGGTCAGTTTCAGAGGAAGGTGATATGAGTGAGGTTATGAAGGACGGCTACAATTCACTTGCGCACACATGAAGTCATGAGCTAACTCTAGCATGCACACTGGAAAATGGGACCCATTCTTCAAGGTCATTTATTTCTATCTGCTGCTAAACTGTCATAATATACCCATTTTGTTAGAACCAAACACTTTCCTGCCAAGAGCTGTAAAACCGTCATAACCAATCTTCCCATTAACCATGTCTGCAGTGTGAATGGCACCCCCTAGGGGTAGGAAGTCTATGACCTGCACTATCATGGCCCCAGCAGGAAGGGGATTCTGACTTTGGAAATCAAAGTGGGAAAGCAGAGGAAAGATTCTGCTTGAACTTATTTCCTACCACGAAAGAAAAAAACTGAACTATTCTTGTAGAGAAGCTGTTCTCCACCAAGGGTGATGCTGCCCCTCAGGGGACATTGGACAATGTCTGGAGACATTTTTGGTGTCACAACGTGAGGAAGGGGTTGCTACTGGCATCTAGTGGGTAAAAGCAGGGATGACGCTTCCCTTCTACGATACATAGGACAGCCCCCACAACAAGGGATTACCTAGCCCAAACAGTCCATAGTGCCGAGGTTGACAAACCCTAGTGTAGACGGGTGACTAGCTTTACACAGGACCAGGATTAAAATGGTGATGGTCTTGCTACATGGTCACAATGATAACAAACGCAAGGTAAGAGTTTCTGCCAAGAAAGCACTGAGCTATTTGCCCTGCTGACTCCCAGGCCTCCTCATGGGGTGAAAGGACACCAGCTTCCAACACAGACATAATCCAAGTGACACTGACCATATTTACAAGTAGGATGACCGACCCATCCTGGTTTGCCCAAGAGTTTCCCAGCTTTAGCACTGAAAGTCTTGTATGCTAGAAACTTCTCTCAGTCCTGGGCAAGCTGGGACTGTTGGTCACCCTGTTCCTAAGGCTCAGGTGATCCCAGTGAAGACACCTGTCACTGGCTTTCTACAAACAGGAAGCCCCACCTGCTCTGCTTCTCGGTGTCCAGCATCCTCTGTAACTCTCGGACCCGACACTCAAACTGGGACTTCTCGTCACCAAGGACGCTCCTCCACGCCTCCCACTGCCGCTCTTTTTCCAGCAGCTCATCATTCAGGGCCTCCAGGTCCATGACCTGTTCTTCCAGCATCGTGCAAGTGGTCTTCAGAGCCTCCATCGTCTGCAAATCAGTACCACTGAGTTGTGCCTTGTATCAAATGAGGATTTCCTGGATGTTACTTTTGTTGGATCAGTGTCAGAAAAGCACAAGTTTCTAACTACAATCTGAAACACAGTGTATCTGTTTTCTTCTACAGACCCAGGGGACCAGACAAGAATGGATAAAGGTCCATTTCTGCCACCATCTTAAAGACAGAACCCAATGCAAGCCAGGGGGAAGAGACTACGCTTAAAAGTCAAGGGGCTCACACTAGCCTCCCAGAATATTCTATTTTATTTTTACCTTTTTTTAAGTCAGAATTAAGAGAACAACACACTTTTAGAAGCTACTTTTTCCAAACCCCCAAGCCCTCAAAACATAGACATGATGATGAAAAAGAGCCCATTTAACGGACAGGGCTCAGTCTTGGGTCCCTTGGGAGAGGTATACCGGGCGTCTGCTCTGAAACCTAACAGGATCAAAGTGTGCCAGGGATCTCTGACACAGCGTACTGTCCTTACTTGCTTCTGGCTTGTGAGCTGCATCTCCCTCTCCGTAATCTCACGGCGGAGATGGTCTACTTCACTTCGTAGTTGTACTATCTCATCGTTGGCGCCGGAAGCCTCGTCGAGTTGTTTGGACAAGTAGAAATTTTGGTTGTTGAGCTCAGCGTTGTCCTCGGTCAGCTGGTTTAGCTGCTCCTCCAGGTCTGTGATTACCTAAAAGAGGAAAGGAACCCGGTTCTGCATCCAGCAAGTCCGTTTGAAATGAGGAACTGCTTCTAGAGCCACTGATTTTAGAACCTACGTGACACTAGCAATCCACATGCCACTCACATTTGCTTATCCAACCCCGGCAGCCAAAGCCAAACTCCCGTGCCCGCCCACTTAGCACTAAGACACACGTGCTGTGGTGGAAAAAGAAAAGTCTCTGATTCTTTCTCACGCATGATTTATCTGGAAGACATGGCAAAAGTAGATCAATCAAAAGTGATTGCCGTATGGAAGGGGCAACTTTAAATGAGATCAAGTTAATGGACGATAATATAATGTGGAAAATGCAAGCCAAGGAAAGGCGTCTAAGAGACTGGCATCACAATCAGCTAATTAAACAGACGGCACCATCCAGAGGACATTAGAACTGGAGATAGTCTTAGAAAGCAAAATAAAATTCTTATCAAGGAGGACTGACTGCGAAGGACACTAAAAGTTATTTTAATATCTCAGCGATAAATTTAATTTCATGCAACAAAAGGAAAAAATTTAAGGGAAGTTCAGAATAATCCTGAAAATATTGTACTATGGCATCACTTTAATGGTTTTTATTATACAGTTAGCTATCAAAAATGGGAAGGCATGTATATGAAATTGTCATTTTATTGAGAGAGATTTAATCTGGTTTTGCTAAATTATTTCCCTGCTCAATGGCAGAATGACTTCCATTTCAGTGCATTTAGCTTCCCTATTCTCTTTTCTGAGGTTCAGTATCAGCGCTTGCAGAGGGCTTTTGTATATAATACTTTCAAAGTTTAAGGGCAATTTTCTAATAATAGTTCGAATGAAGCACACAGGCAGTAAATTACATTTTATGTAACAAAAAGAAGTAAATTAAAAGGAAATGTCTTGAAGCCTACAGTTTATTAATTGTTTCCAATTTCCAAACCTAGAGTAGACTTAGTTTATGAAATGTTGCCACTGTTTCCATGACTAATTCCCTATTTTAACCCCCTTTGATTATCAATTTAAAAAAAATCTTCCCGGGCACATAGAATTAAAGAACATCAATTAAGCACATTTGTTCAATGTGGCTCAGAAAACAGAGCTTTTGTTAACTGAGATGATAAGCTTTTAATGTAGTAAGTGGTCTAGTAATTTGTACCTTAATGTCCTTAATGTACCTTAAAGCCCTGCTAATTCCTAACGTATTGGTTGAGGTGCACTGTTGGCTACAAGATGGGGAATAAAGGTTATCTGGTTGGGTCCTTAGCTAGGACTCCTTTATCAGGGAAAATGGGAAAAGACTTCAAGTTTGTCATTTCTAGTCAGCAGTTATACCTTAAAGGGATCCTGGATCACCCTTTGGGTGCATGGTTAAATCTCCTAAAACCAGAAACAATAAGTAAACAATGCCCAGTAGTTCAACTGGTCTCCATCTTATATGTAGTGAAGCCATTCCTTAAGATAGTTTTCATCCTGGACTATAAATGTCTCCATTTAACTACTATGCTTCTTTCTAATGTCCTTCCCCCACACACACCAAAAACAAAAACACAAAAAACAGAGGCAAGCTGGCCTAGAAACTACGTTCTCAAATGGAGTTTGGAGCCCCAAATAAAGCCATCTTAAACTTTGCAGGGTTGGGGTCTTCATCTGCGATAAGGAGGTAGATACTATATTTACTACCTCCTCCGTTTCATTTTTTTTTTTATGTTTTGAATTTTCTTGCATACTATTCTACCTTAATGTAGCCTGTGAAATACAAGGGATAAAAATTAATGACCAAGATAATGCTTCATTTTAAAGACTATCATGGTACCTCTTGCAGGGCAGAGAGGCTACAGAAAATCTGCTCACCTAAGAATATACATGTTGCCAAAATAATTTACTCACTGCTCAAAGACATACCTAAGCCTTTGGGTTCTCACTCCCTTTCTCTGATTTATGGGGAAAAAATTGCAATTTATTATTAGCCCATTTCTGCTCACTCTTCTCCTTTCAAAATAGATTATAAAGTGCTAAAGACAAAATACTTGAAAAGCTCAATGAAGTGCCAAGATTATGACTCTCACTTCAGTTGAGACGGGCCCACCGGAGTGGGAGGCATCCTTCTACTTCCCTATTGTCATTCAGTTTTCAAGGGGTCTCACATCTCTGATTTCTACTTACAGTTTGTGAATGTTGGTTCTATATTTTACCCTATTTTGCATGTTTGTCAGGAGGAGGCTTGTGTGTTTATGCGAAGCCCCCAAGCACTCATTAAAGCATTTTAACTCATTCAGACTTCTTATATATTCTTTCTGCCCAAGTCATAACATGTTTAGCTTGTGATTCTGTTTTGAGGTGTTGGAGTTGTGGTATTGTTAGTTTTAGACACCCCCCCAACATACCCACACATACATTATTGGGTTTATAGATATTGAAATGACTGGGGACACAGGCAGAAAATTAATGGTCTCCATGGTTTAAAAAAAATTTTTTAAAGTATTGTGATAGGCAATCTGTGATTTTGAACCAGGTAATGTGCAAGGAGGATTCTTAGATCTACCATGTGTCCGTGGGTGTATTCTCTCCACACCAAGGGCAAATGATCTGTTTATTCTATTATGAGTCTGTTAACCTTTCAACCCCAAGGATACAAGGTAAAAAAGAGAAACTGAAAGGCTGACTCCATCTTAGCAGTGAGAAGAGGAGGGAGACACCTTCCTAACACAGGAGCCAACAGAGCTTTCTTCTAGGCTGTTTTTGCAGATAAGAGATCGTGATGCATTTCTAAGAGGAAATAAGGATATAAAAAATGATCTACTCTCAGTGTCTGAGAGAGAGAGAGAGAGAGAGATCTCTATTTGGGGTTATCTGTTGCTTTTCAAGCAAACCTGACAGATCTGAGCAAGAACTGTTTAGCTCTCACACCTGATGGGAAGACCAGTAGGGAGAAGGTAACCAGGTATATGTTCAACGGCACGGTGGGGGTTTAGAAACCAGTCAGATGATGAGCATCGGGCTAAAAAGACACAGGGCTAAAGTCCTACTGGAATGTCTGGTTCCTTCTTGAAGGCAGCTATTTGCATATTATTTATTTTTAATCTTATAGCTGACAGATTGATTCATAATTAAAACTGTGTCATATGTTTGCCCACCAACTCCCCTCCGAAACAGACTTAGGTAGGGTTTTAGGTGCCAGATTGGATCAAACCCTTTTTTTAAATCTCATCAAAATATAGAAATGGTCTGAGCTGGAAAATGTTACAGCTCATGAGTTTTTTAAAAGCTGCTAACTGGGAGCTCCTATCAGTTGAGTTATTGCAAGAGTTCCCACCAGTAACAAAGATGACGTCTCCTTGCAGAGACAATCTCAGATAGCGCCAGTTAGACAGAAACATCCATCATGCCCGTCAGAAGTGTCTTTAAAGCAGCCTTTGAAGTTGAAAAAGTGTAACAGAGATCTACTATTGCTGCCAAACGTTGTCCTAAAGCAGTGGTTTTCAAACTTTTTAAAGGGGCAGACCATTTTCTAAACAAAAGAGTATGTCGTAAACCCAGTATAATAAAGTATTAATAGTATCCAATACTATTTAGCACTTTCTATGGACCAGGCCCTGTGTAATCCCTTGGATGCATCATCTAATTCTTGCAGGACCCCCATGACACAGGCATTAGGACCAAATTTGATTCGGTGACTTAGTGTTTCCTAAGTTTTGAACGTATACTGGAACTAAGCCGCTGTCTCTTTGCCCTCACCAAGCCCCTCAAAGAGCAGTTACTAAATGAATTATGCATCTTATAATTGACGATATATTGAAATGGGGAATATACAATGTCGTTGCCATTTTATAGGTAAGCAAATGGAGGCTTGGGAGTTTAGCATCACACAGTTAAAAGAGGCCAATTTCAAATCAGAACCCGTCTGACTCCAGAGTACATGGTCGGACCACGAGCAACCCAGCTGCTCTTGCCGAAGTGTGGGTGGGGGTCACTCTTTCGGGTTCCCCCTCCCACTGGGAGAGGTCCCAAGGCTTCTCCACAGAATATCAGAAGTAAGTAAAGCAAGGAATAGAAGTCACTGCTCCCGAAAAAAAAGCAAATGTGAGGGATGAAAAGAATATAAAAGTTACATAAGAAAGTAACCAAATTCATTCTACATACTGGCATATTCTATTTAAAAACAAACCTCTAATTTTTAAAATCTGAGGGGGTGGGGAACATTTCATTTCTCACATGGAAACATTTGAGAGTAAACGGATACATTCGTTATTTTGATTGTCTTGCCGGTTTCACAGCTGTGTACACATTTCAAAACTCCTGAAGGGGCGCCTGGGTGGCTGTCGTTAAGCATCTGCCTTCCGCTCGGGTCATGATCCAGGGTCCTGGGATCGAGCCCCGCATTGGGCTCCCTGCTCAGCAAGAAGCCTGCTTCTCCCTCTCCCACTCCCCCTGCTTGTGTTCCCTTTCTCACTGTGTCTCTTGCTGTCAAATAAATAAATAAATAAAATCTTAAAAAAAA